TACTGAAGAAATTAATATATATAGCCAATTTGGGTGCCTGGGTCTATGTGTAGGTGTTGGATTCAGCTGTCCACTTTGTCAGGTTCAAATCCTGTTACTTGGTTAACCAATAGAACTCTATATTCCCAGGAATATGTCAAAGTCCTCTCTTGACATCTCATTTTCACATCTTTTTTTTGGTAAGCATTATGTTTCCCTCAGTTCCTATCTATCATTTCAGGCAACCACAATACTAAACAACAGAACTCTAGATTTGGGGTTTTAGAACACTTCCAGGACATTCCTGGTTTCTGTGTTGATTTACCACTTAAGTAAGTATAAGCAGAGCTTCCCTGATAGCTCAATTGGTAAAGAATTTGTCTGCAATGCAGGAGACCCTGGTTCAATTCCTGGGTCGGCAAGAACTGCTGGAGAAGGGATAGATTAACCACTCCAGTATTCTTGGGCTTTCCTTGTGGCTCAGCTGGTAAAGAATCCACCGACAATGTGGGAGACCTGGGTTGGGAAGATCCCCTGGAGAAGGGGAAGGCTACCCACTCCAGTATTCTGGCCTAGAGAATTCTGACACAACTGAGCGACTTTCAAGTATAACTAAGTGTGAATATGTCTGTGTGATTATTTAGTACTTCCCTTACTTTCTTGTGAATTTAGTAATATATTTAAAAATACTTTTGGAAGTAGTTTCAGTGAAAATGGCAAAGTAGGAAATATAGCCAATATTTTAGAGTAAGTATAAATGGAGTATAACCTTTAAAAATTGAATCACTATGTTGTACACACAAAACTCAAAATGTTGTAAATCAACTATATGTCAGTAAAAATAAAGATATACAAAAACCTTAAAAAAAACAGTTATGTAAAGAATTTGCTTCCAGTGGAAATGGATGATAGTGATATATGAGGGTTAAGAACAATATGTTGTCTAGGTAGAACAATGTTATTTCTTGTCCAGAAGTCCTAGACAAACTTCCACCCTCACCCTTAGGTTTCCTCATAGGTGAAGTAGGAATATTACAGGGATTAGTAAAAGAGATAAAGAGACCCTGGAATCTGTAATCTTCTTTTATGGGTTTTGTGCCTTGAAGGGCTTCTTTGTGCCTTGAAGGGCTTCTTTACTCATAGGCTATTGATTAATTCTGGGGAGTGGTTTTGAGGGATCTCTTTGAATCTTGATGGGAGGTGCACTGTGAATTTTGCCAGTATCAGTGGAGATTTTGTCGGTAAGGAGGGCGAGAGCTGATTCAATAGCTGTTCCCAGGATCAGCTCTAGACAGAGCAAATGAAAGATGTCACAGCATCATTTAACTCATCTGATTGGCTGCTTTGATAAGTACTGTCAAATTTTAGAATTATCTCCCCACCCCCTCCTTTTGAGAGAAGGAAATTCTGGCATGATACTTCTTTTTTTTTTTTTTAATCAACTTTGGCTCCTTTTTATTCAGGAAGCATACTCTAATTCATTTTATACATTTTTTTTTTACATTCCAGAAATAAGCGAAAATAGCAGTTTTAAATATGTTACAAAGTTGGCTTTGGGGGCTAAATAAGCTTTTTTGAGAGAGGACCAGCCAACTGACCTTTTCATCAAAGCACCAATGTATCTTCAGTCTTTTACCACGCTCTACCACAGCTGTGGCCACCTTGGATGTGATGTACATCCAAGCCGCAAGAAAGCTGTAACGGAGAGTTGCTGCAAGTCTCTCTGCAAGGCACCAAGAACAGACAGTTCCAGCTTCCTTTCTTCAGACCGAATCAAAATTTTGGAAACTTTTCAATGCTGTCTCAAGTGGTGCTCTCTCAGAGTGAAGTCTGCTGCTGCTAAGTCACTTCAGTCGTGTCTGACTCTGTGCGACCCCATAGACGGCAGCCCACCAGGCTCCTCCGTCCCCGGGATTCTCCAGGCAAGAACACTGGAGTGGGTTGCCATTTCCTTCTCCAATGCATGCAAGTGAAAAGTGAAAGTAAAGTCGCTCAGTCGTGTCCGACTCTTCATGACCCCATGGACTGCAGCCCACCAGGCTCCTCCGTCCATGGGATTTTCCAGGCAAGAGGACTGGAGTGAGGTGCCATTGCCTTCTCCGTGGCATGATACTTCTTTAAGAGGCCTCAGGCTTATACATGGATAGCAGTGGAAGAACTAAGGAGAAAAGGGTGTGTGTCTCTCAAAGGTCCTAGACAGAAGCAAGTAGGTTCAGAGACAGAAGCATCTTGAGGTTCACTGGAGGTCTCCACTGTTTGAACTGTTCTACTACTTCAGGGCAGGGGCTGCTTTATAGTAGTGGGCTTGTACACCACGAGCTTGACTCGGATGTCAGTTAGGACTGGAGGAGACTCAGCCCCAATCTAGAGAAATATGTCTCTAAACCACTTGGAGGGAGGATTGGGAAGAGCCTCAGGATCCCATCACTGAGAACTGACAGCTAGCTGGAAAGGTCCCTTAGAGGGTTATAGGTGCCTGAAGACTTTATCTCTTTCCCAAAGTCCTGGCTGTCTGCAACACTAGCAGAAACTAGGAGGGTCTTGCTTTTCATTTGCTGGAGTCGAAGATTCAGACTTTGGTGGTCTTCCACTTAGGTGACTCCTCTAGTGCTCAAGAGAGCTGGTTTGCCAGATTAATTAAATTTGGAGTGGACGTAGTTTCCTATTTCTCTTGGTCCTTTTTACCAGCAGGGAAATGTCCTGGTTTAGCCTGTAAATAAACAGAATTAAAATCTACCTGGTTGGAATTAGCATCTATCTGAAGGAAGGTCAGAATTTTCATTTAAAACAATCTGAAATGAACTGTAATAGTCATGAACAGGCTTATCAGATTTTTGTCTGCAAGCCTGAAATTTGTTCAACAGGCTTTGGAAAAACCCCAGGAATTGCCCTAGGAAGACACGAAGTGATTGTTGAGCCTGATCATATGAGTTAGCAGGCTAGTTTTGAAACAGAAGGTAGTCATCAGATCTGTTACACCTGAAACCTGCTTCCACTGATTAAGTTCTTTTTAAGTGTTTTTACAAAAACGTGCAGATCCTCCAAGAGTCAAGTAGCCTAAACAATAAGAGGTTTGCCTGAGCTGTTTTCCAGGAACTTGGAATCAGCTGAGGCCAATTTGAGCTCTAACTAGTTAAGACCACTGACTCTTCAACTGGGCATGCTCCGTGACCTTTTGACTTCAGAGGGCTGAAAACTCCATCCGCAGAGCATGTCCTGAGCATGCGTATTGTGAAGAAGCCTGTAGCTTAGTTGTATCTAGGCCAGAATGAAGATCACCTCACATTTTCTTGTCTACAATTAGCTCCAATTAGCCTCAGTTTTATCCCAAAGCATATCACCAGCCCCTCGCCTTTGAGGAGGTGGATTTGAGGCTTCCGTCTTCTCGCTTGGCCAACTTGTAAGTAAACGCTTTCTCTGCTGCAAACTTCGGTGTCTCAGAATTTGGCTTGCTGCATGCTGGGCAAACAAACTTGGTTCAGTAACACTTTCCCAGTTGTATTTCTAGGTACCTTTCAGGATTTTCCCAGTTAGCAGTTTTAATTCAATGCTGGGCCTATCCTTGGCCGAGAAGCATATGAACTAGCTGGTAAAAGTCAGAGATACCAGGTTGCTAAATTTGAGTAGCATAAAATTCCTCTGCAAGCCTGTGAGTTTCTTTGGGTTACTGTGGCTGGGCGGTGGGTCTATGACTATAGCTCAAAGTTCAGCTTTAGTTCAGAGAGTAGAAGAAGAAATTAAGGGTTTGGTCTCTGGATCCTCAGTATGCCTAATTTTAAAGGGATGGGTTCTGAAAAATTCAGAGGAAAAGGGAGGGGGTTAGATTAAAAGAAAAAGTGAAGTTAAGCAAGAGTTAGTGTGGGGAAGTGAGGGTAGAGAGGAGGAGTAGGCAGCACAGAAGGGAGAAGACAGCCCCAGAGGTCTAAGCACAAGGAGCCGAGAGAGAGACAAGATGGCTCCTGGAGCCATTTTTTCTTTCTGGAATGGTAACCACTGAGAGACTTACCGGTTCTGGGCACCTGAGGGAATCTCTAATTACTAGCAGACCAAGCTGACGTCAGTGGTCATACTGTACGAACAATAGAGAGTTCAGAAAAATCACTTAACAACAAATAGCAATAAACCCTAGAGAAAAGGGAAAATCTGATTTTTAGTTATTACATTTATTTTAAAAGTCAAGTTTTCAACAACAAAAGAATTAAAACATAAACAAGGGCTGTTATCTTCAGAAGAGTTTCTTAGTCTTTTTTCCATTCTCTGATGTGAGACAGAAAACCTGGAGGGACTGGGGTTGTGTTACTGTCTTTCCTCAAGGTCAGATGAGGGTCTGGTCAAGTTTTCTTTAGGGCAGGTCTTTCTCACAAAAAGTAGGTTGCTCTGGCATATTTCAAAATGGTCTGGCCTTTAAGTCGTCAATCTGACACTGAAGTCAGTGACCATGTTTTATTAATTTTTGTAACTTGCAAAGTGCTTTATAGCCATACTGCTAAATTAATATGACTTTAATCTCTTTTCTGTCTCTTCAACTGACCACTTACAGCTTCATAACATGTACCAACAAACAGACTGTCAAACTTATCTTTATTCTTTTGGGGGTAATTTTTATATTGTAATTTCCATACAAAAATGCTAATGTTTCACTAATGTTTTAAAAACTTTTTTTTCCCCCCAGAAATTCACTGGCAATCCACCAGTTAGGACTTGGTACTTTCTCTTCCATGGCCTGGGTTCAATCCCTGGCCAGGGAACTAAGATCCCACAAGTTGTGCGGCCAAAAAAGAAAAGAAAACCTGAAATGTAGAAGCTTTTTTTCCATATTTGTTTTCATTTGTTTGGGATTTGTTTACACCTTTCAGATTTGCTCTACCAGGAAAATGGGTATAGTTTTAATTTACAACTAATATTTGACTGCTTCTTTTCAATCTTATGAATTGATAGCTTGAGTAAAAAGAATTTTTGTGCTCCTCATGCCTATATATTTTACTTAAAGTTAATATTAGCCAGAAAATATTCAGCTTCCTGGTCATTCTCTCCAACCTGTGGGGAAGCCAAAACCTCAATATAATCTTCAGAATCAGAATATGGAAGAAGGAGCCCCTTCATTAGATGCCAAAGGAAAAGTAACAGGAGAGAAGATGTGCTCTGAGATGATTATTCTGGGATCTTTGATCTTGGTACCTCTACACCCATCTTTTTTTTTTTTTCCCTCCATTTATTTTTATTAGTTGGAGGCATTTTTAAGGAAAAGTCTTTTTAAGTCCCTGCTGCCTGGAACCAAGTTCATTGTATTCCTCCCTCTACTACATGTCAGGACCACCTGGAATCTGTTGTCTAGGGTTGCCATGGACACAGGATTCTTATTCTAGTACTGCCTTGTTAGCAGCAGCAGGTAAAGACCTAGGGTGGGGGCCTCTGGCTAAGGACATCCCATCACACCCTCTGCCCTTTATGTAGCTAATGCCGCCCTTTCACCCTCGCAGAGTAAGAGTAGAACATTTTACAGGGACAGATGGAGGGTGGGGGGGTGGAGGAAGGATCTGGAGAAGGGTCAGGATGGGGGTCTTTGGGCCCACTGACAGCAAGGCTTGCCTTGTGCTTAGCTGTGGGGAACACTAATTAGCATTCCTCTCCCCTCCCAGGGCATTTGCGGAGCCCCCATCTCACCCTCAGGGGTCATGGGCGTGGAGGGAGTGGGGGTACTAGTCTTCTGTAGGAGCAACTAACAGCAACTTTGTGGCTGGCCAGGAACTGGGCTGAGATTGGACTTACCACACTTTAATGGGGACATTAAAAAAAATAGGAAAGAATGGAAAAAAGGATGGGGGTGGGGGAGGCATTATCCTGAAAGGCAGCAGGAGAGAAAATTGCTACCAGGATCTTGAGTAAAGTTTGCTCCTGCTTAGGAAAAGTACCCAAGTCACAAAATGCGCCCCACCGCCCCGCAGCCCCAGCTCTGTCCAAGACGCAGCGCCTCCGCTAAAGCAGCCTCGCCTGAAGGTAAGCAGATGCCGCGCCAGCAGGAATGGGGGTGGCCCCCCAGAACCAGGCTGGCTCTCCAATGACCATCTGGGCTCTCGGGGCCACAGCGTCCAAACTTTGGGCTTCATACTCCCACTGCGCATGAGCTAGTGTCCCTCAAATGTTTGGAATTCACAGATGGCTGGACCCCAAGCCTCAAAATCAACATTGATGCACAAATTGGTCTATTGTGGGGGAAAATTTTTGTTTTGTTTATTTTTCTCTCTTTGCCCAGAATTGAGGGGCTTGTGGCTCATTTCTGCTTGCCTCAGGTGGACATAATATTACTACTTGTTAACGATGTATTAATACTTGGCAGTGCTTTTATCCTGTGACTTACAGTTTTTGTGCGTGAAGTCTGCCCTGTGAAATGCTGAGGATCGCATTTTTTGGCTTTCTCATTCCTGTGATTTATTCTACAGAGAATATTCTAGGATGGAAATATAAGTCACTCTGATGTAAAATTGGTTTGAAATGGTTTTGTTTCACTTTCTGGGTCCTGGTTCGCAAGTGGGTAATTTTTTTAAAGAGTCCTGTGCTTGAGCTCCAATACTTTGGCCACCTGATGCGAAGAACTGACTCATTGGAAAAGATCCTGATGCTGGGAACAATTGAAGGCAGGAGGAGACGGGGACGACAGAGGACGAGATGGTTGGATGGCATCACTGACTGAATGGACATGAGTTTGTGATAGACAGGGAAGCCTGACATGCTGCAGTCCATGGGGTCGCAAAGAGTTGGACATGACCGAGCAACTGAATTGAACTGCGCTTGAGCTAAACTTAAATTATATTGAACACTCACAAAATGTTTCCCTCTATTTTTTGAACTAAAATTCTAAGGGCAAATGCTTACAATGCATGTTTCACAGGATATATAAAATTGCACAGTATTGCAGATTTTGTATTTGTGGATTCAAAACTTCAGAAATGCTGATCCTTACCTAGTAAGTCCTATGTGTGACTCTTTCCAACTGGGGGGATATCATATGTGTTTTAAACATATCAAATATATACGTGTTTTAAACATATCAAATATATAATGCATGTGTGCTTTTGCTTTTCTTAGATTAACTGTAGATTAAATTCAACCTTGAAACAGACCATGCAGGGATTAAAGAAGAGTTCTTTATATGCCTGGCTCATGCATCCAAAAAATAAGTAAGTGATAAGATTCAAATTTGCTGAATTTTAAGCATAATTTTCAGCCCTTAATAGAAAAGGGAATGTACCTGTACCTTCCTTTATAATAAATGTAAACTGTATGCAAATGAATTGGCAAATTCAAAATTTAAAGACCTTGTTGTATGCCTGTAATTTCCTTAAAAATACCACAGCTTAAGCAGTGTACCAGTAATAATACACATGTGACAGTCATAGTCCCTGTAAACTTCTCCTCTAGGGGTGACTGGTTGCCTTAATGGAGGAGGTTCTGTCTAGGGTGGTGAACATTTCCAGGGACGGCCACAACAAGGGCTTCAGTTGTTCCATCTCCATTAAAACCTGAAACATTGCTAATTCCTGTGAATGTGTTTTTATTAGTGAGATTTTCAAATCAGCTTAATGGATGTTGGAAATACACAAATTTTTGAGATCAATGAATTATAACTATTGGTAAAAAATAGTAACTGTCTCAAGAGATGTATTGAGGACCAGTTGCCAGTAGTATTTGGGAAGTATCAGCAAAATGCCTGGCACTTTTTAGTCAATACCATTTAAATATTTGTAAAGTGAACATTGGGATTGCAATTCAGCAATTACAAGTAGACTGCATCCATGTTATGTCATGGGTGAGCCTCCAACATTTTGTGAAGTGAAATGAAGTCAGATACAAGAGACCGTATATTGTGTGATTCCACTTATATGAAATGTCTAGGAAAAACAAATCCATGGAGACAAAGTAGATTCACAGTTGGCTAGGGGTGGGAACATGATTAATTTATAAATGAACATAAGGGATCTCATTGTGGGGATGAAAATGTTCTATAATTGATTAAACCCCTGGATTGTACATTTGGGGAAAAAAATGTAATGTGAAAGATAATTTCTTGGCATAATTTGGGGAAATTTATCTTTATTTTTTCTCAGCCTTTTCTGTTCCATGTTTTCTCATTCTCAGATGTCTGTATTCCAGATGTTAGATATGGAGGATCAGAACATATCCATGGACATTCTGTTTATTCTTTTCTACTATTTTATGGGAATTCCTCAACCTCACTTTCCAACTTTATTTTGCTTTTCACATGTACTCAAACTACTTTATATCCCACGAATGGATTCTTTATATCCAACAATTCTACTTCTACACTTAACATTTCCTCTTGGGTTTTTTCTTTCTTTTATTTAATAATTTTATTTATTTTTGACTGCACTGGGTCTTTGCTGCTACTTGGGCTTTCTCTAGTTACGGTGAGCAGGGGCTACTCTCTAGTTGCAGCGCATGGGCTTCCCATTGCAGTGGCTCCTCTTGTTGCCGAGCACAGGCTCAATAGTTGTGGCACATGGGCTTAGTTGCTCCATGGCGTGTTGAACGTTCCTGGAGTTTGCTCAAATTCATGTCCACTGAGTCAAGGATACTACCTAAGCATCTCATCCTCTGCTGTCTGCTTCTCCTTTTGCCTTCAATCTTTCCCAGCATCAGGGTCTTTTCCAATGAGTTGGCCCTTGGTACCGTGTAGCCCAAGTATTGGAGCTTCAGCTTCAGCCTCAGTCCTTCCAATGAATATTCAGGCTTGATTTCCTTTAGGATTGACTGGTTGGATCTCCTTGCTGTCCAAGGAATTCTCAAGAGTCTTCTCCAGCACCACAGTTCGAAAGCATCAATTCATACCGTCACCTTTAAGCCCTGGGCAAGGAAACTTTGGAGAAGGCAGTCACCCTAGGTTGTCATTTGGAGCTTTGGAGATGGAAGGGAGGTGGAGGGGAGGATGAAGTAGTGCTCTTCAGCCCCTCCCTGTTTTCATCAGCTAACCTAATGTTACCCTCTTTTGATTTTTCTTTTTAACACTTTTGCCTATTTATTTATGGCTGCGCTGGGTCTTGTTGCACTCCGGCTTTCTCTAGTTGAAGTGGGGGGGGGGCGGCGGCGGTGTGGGGGCCGTTTTTCCCTGGTTGTGTGCAGGTTTCTCACCGCAGTGGCTTCTTAAGCTGCGGAGTTCAGGATCAGTAGTTGTGGTGCACAGGCTTAGTTGCTCCAAGGCATGTAGGATCTTCCCAGACCAGGATCAAACCTGTGTCCCCTGCATTGGCCGGTGGATTCTTAACCACTGGACCACCAGGAAAGCCCTGCTACCCTCGTTTTATATTAACAACACCTGGGTAATTGCTACTGGTTTCTGAGAAGGCATTTATTGTCTCCAAGCCACTCAAGGGAAACACATGAACTGAACTTAAAATTTCCCCTCCCACTGGGCTACTCCAGACTGCCCCTGTCTGTCCACCAGCTAAGGCACTCCTTAGCCTTCCAGAGTTTGTGTTATTTCTTGGAATCCATACTTTCATTTGACTTTGGTATCACTAGTTTTGGGCTATTTCTCATCTTGGGTAGAAACCCACCATTTCCCAGGGAATTACGGCAGTGTTATTACTTTAGGATCTTGAGGTGTTTTTGAAATTTAAAATATATACTGAGTTTTTGGACATCACATTTGAAGAAGATAGGCTTCCTAAAAACCAATATTTTTGAAATGGTGATTATTCAGTATGATTTTCTGAAGTTGATGGATGCAAAGTGCATTTTCATGTGTCTTATTTTACACATGAGGAAATTGAGTCAGAAAGAGATTAAATTAATAAAGCCAGTGATTTGGTGGTGGGGAGTCTTGATGTTGGATAATATAACCAGGTATCTTTTTGGAATAATTCAGAGAAGAATAAAAAGGAATCATTATAAATATGCTCTACTTCCAGTTCAGAAAAAAAAATTAAAGTCTTACATAGTCCATCCTTGACCTGCTTACCTGTTTCTTCTCTACCAAATGGTGAGGAGTATTTGTCACTCTGGCATTTTCTTTTCTTTTTTTTTTCCTGTATCCCTTTATTAGTTATCAGCTGGACCCATCTCCCCATTCCTACACTCTCAGCTCTTTATGGTTTCCTAGAGTGATTCCCAAGTGTGTGAATGGTTTGTGAAATGGGAAAGAAAGATTTAATAATTAATGATACACCCCCCTTCTTTCCTTCTCTTTCTAGTATATTCACAAGCACACACAGCCCAGATGTGGTCTCAAGAAGTCCAGTGTTGTACCCTGAAACTGTTTCTTCAATTTTTACCATATTCATGATTTTACATTTCATGTCCTGAAATTCTATTGGAAAGAAGAAACTAATTGCCTTCCATACTGTCTGACTTTATATTTTTGTATGTTTTTTTCACTCTGGCAGAGTTATGGATGCCTCTTTAGGCTCCTCTGACAACGTTGACAAGAGGTGCGTGATGTGGGTGGTGAAAAGGTATTGGGAATGTTGAAGGCCAAGGAAGGTTTCTTTTCATAAAAGACTGGATGTTCTTATAAGTAACTTTATTTAGGGGTCTAGATGGGGAAAAAGAGATCATAAGTGGGAGAATCCTTACTCATAGTCTGTTTGTGACCCTGATTAACTGGTAGCCAAAACTCTTGGGAAACTAAAAGAATGTGTGGGAGAGACTCTGCTACAGAGCGCCAGGACAGGAGGACGGAGGAGGCAGAAAGGAGCAAACCCTAATAGATCTTGGTGCTAGCCCCCACCCTCCAGGGCTCTGCTCCCACCTAAAGCTGGTGTCCCAACTCTACACTCACTGTCATGTTGGAGAGTCCCTGCCCCAGGCTTGTAGCTCTGTAAACCAAACTGAGGGAAGGACTACAGGATACGAAAAAAGTAAGGATGCAGAGGTGGGACTTGATAATCAGGAACTTAGAAGGGGCTGGAAGATAGTAGACCTGCACACTGAAGTTGAATTTTAAGTAAATGCAACCTTGATGCAGTTGGACATGGAGTTAGGTTTAGAGGTTAAGAATTGTACTTTGCCAGGCTGCTTAGACAGCCCTAAGGGCTCATTACAACTATAATAAAGCCCTGTTTGTAGTGAAAATTGAAATACTGATTGCCAAATAACTAACTTTCAAACAAATCTTTAGAGTTAAAAACCAGTTTACAAATTGAAGACTATTTGTAACTAGTTAACTCTATGAAGTCATTTCGAATTTGATGGTATGCTTTTAATTCCTTAGAGATAACTCAGTTGAACTGACATCAGGAACCTATGAGGACACCATCTATGAAAGGTGAGGTATTTATTGAGGGGTGAGGGGTCCAGGAGGATGGGGTGGAGATGTTTAGTCTTGGGATTATCCATGGCAATGAAGAATTTTCTGGCCAATGATCTAGAATTCTTTCTATAAAGATAGGAATTTCAGTAAGTTATGTTTACTATGTATTTTAGATTTGAGGAATCTTTATTCAGATAAATTCATTATATCACTATTCCATATAGACTATCATTAATGAGATGTTTCTCTATCTATTGGTATTTAAAGTAAAATAGAGCAATTCTTCTTGATGGTGGTAATGAAGATGTTAACTTCCATGAAAGTGTTAGTCACTTGTGTCCAACCCTTTGTGACCCCATGGACTTGCCAGTCTCCTCTGTCCATGGAATTCTCTGGGCAAGAATACTGGTGTGGGTCGCCATTCCTTTCTTCCCTTCTCCAGGGGATCTTCTCAACTCAATGATCGAACGTTGGTCTCCCACATTGTGGGCAGAATCTTTACCATCTGAGCCACCAGGGAAGCCCCTAACTTTGGTAATTCATAGGAATAAGTCAGTGTGAAGTTTTGAAGGGAGGGAACTGTTGGTGGATGTCACCACTGGGGAGATAGGGTTTATGCTGAGGCAAGAAGAAAAGGGATAACAAATAATAAAGAAGATAGAGAATAAAGATAGTGGCTCTGAACAGCACCTTCAATCAACTGCATCCAATTGACATTTATAGACTAGCTCGTTTAACAAGAGCAGAGAATGTTGGGTTGGCCCTGAAGTTCATTCAGATTTTTCCATAACAGTCTATGGAAAAGCCTGAACAAATTTTTTTACCAACTCAATATATTCTTCTTAAGCTCACATGAAACGTTCACCAATATAGATCACATTCTGGGACATGAAACCCACCTTGGCAAATTTAAAAGAAAAGGAATCACAAAATTTGCTGTCAGACCACAGTGAAGTTTGAAGTCAGTAACAGAAAGATAGTTTGCAAGTTCCCAAATTTTTGGAGGTTAAACAGCATAGTTCTCAATAATACATGGGTCACAGCAGAAGTCTCATGAGAAATTTTAGAATATTTTGAACTAAATGAAAGTATGAGCTATCAAAATTTGTGAAATGCAGCAAAACCAGTAATTAGGGGGAAATTTATAGCCTGAATTCATATATTAAAAAAGAAGAAAGATCTAAAATCAATAAGCTTCCAGCATAGGAAACAAAGAAGACCAGTATAAACCTAAAAAAAGCAGAAGGAGATAATAAAAGAGCAGAAATCAATGAAACTGGAATCAAAAAAGCAATAGAGAATATCAACAAAGCCAAAAGCTGGTTCTTTGAAAAGCAATAAAGTTTGCATCTCTTTGGCCAGACTAACAGAAACAAGAGACAGAAGATACAAATTGCTGTTCTCAGAAATGAAATGAAGATCATCAAGACTGATCACAGGACATTGAAAGGATAATAAAGGAATATTATGAACAACTCCAAGCCCATGAAGTTGATGACTTACATGAAATGGAGTAATGCTTTAAAAGATACTACCAAAGCTCATAAAAAGATCATCTGAATAGGCCTGAATCTGTTAAAGAAATTGAATCAGTGACTAAACCTTTCATAACAGACCCTAGGCCTAGGTGGCTTCACTGGTGAATTCCACCAAACATTCAAGGAAGAAATGATGTCAGTTTTCTAAACTGTTCCAGAAAGTAGAAGCACAGAGAGAAAATTTAACTCATTGTCTAAAGTCAGCATTACCAAAACCAGATGAGAACATTACAAAAAAAAAAAGCATAGGACATAAGAGGCAAAAATCCTAAACAAAATGTTACCAAGTTGAATCCTACAATGTAAATAAAAAATTTTATACCCAGACCAAGTGGGACTTGGATGGACAAGGCTGGTTCAACATTTGAAAGTCAGTCAATGTAATCCATCACATCAACAGGCTAAAAAGAAAAAATGATTGATGCAGAAAAAGCATTTGACAAAATCTAACACTCATGATTAAAAAAAAACCAACCTCTCAGCAAACTAGGAATAGAGAAGAATATTCTCAACTTGATAAAAAACAAATAGCCAGAAAACCCCTACAGGTAGCATCATATGTGATGGTGATAAACTTGAAACTTTTCTGCAGAGACAGGTATAAGGCAAGGACACTCCATGCCCCATCACTCCTTTTCAACATCATACTCAAAATTCCAAGGAGGATTATAGTAATGAGCAATGAGAAGGAAATCAAAGGATGCACGAAGGTATGGAAACAAATGTCTTTGTTCAGAGATGACATGATTGTCTATGAAGAAAAATCCAAAAGAATCGATTAAAAAACTTCTGGGCCTAATAAGCTTATGTCCTGTAATCTTGTCTAACTGCTTTAATATATTGATACAAAAACTTATTACTTTCCCATATACCAGTAACAAACAAGTGGAATTTGAAATTAAAAGTAGAGAACCATTTAAATTAGGATCCCCCAAATAGATTTATACCTAAATATATATTTACCCAGGAAAATGTACAAGATGTATATGAAGAGAACAATAAAGGAAGTCTCAATATTGTAAAGATGTTGATTCTTCCAAATTGTAGATTCAATGCAATCTGAATCAAAATCCCAGAAAGTTACTTTTGGGGTATTGGCAAAATGATTCTAAAGTTTATATGGGAAGGCAAAAGACTCAGAATAGCTTCCACACATTGAAGAGTAAAGTCAGAGGACAGACAATACCAACTTAAGTCTTAATATTAAACTATGATAATCAGGACAGTATGATGATGGTTAAAGGAAGTCTAGAGTTACATGTGGTGTGTGAACCATGTATCTTTTTTTTTAAATTTTTTTTTAACTGAAGGATAATTGCTTTACAATATTGTGTTGGTTTCTGTCATACATCAACATGAATCAATGATAGGTGTATATATTTCCCCTCCCTCTTGAACCACCCCATTCCAACCCTCTAGGCTGTCACAGAGCACCGGGTTTGAGCTCCCTGAGTCACAGAAAGTTCCCACTGGCTGTGTATTTTACATGTGGCCATGCCACCCTCTCCTTCCTCTTTGTGTCCACAAGTCTGCTCTCTATGTCGGCATCTCCACTGCTGCCCTGAAAATACTGTGAACCATGTATCTTTTAATCCTTTAGCTCTGCCCTGAATGAATGGACATCAGAAACCTAGGAGGCTGCCACCAATGAAACATGAAATATTAATGAATTTTAAAGATAAATACATTGTGTATGTACATGTATACACATATTTATATACTCATACCAATACAAACACAAATATATGTATAAACACAAATATGAAAGAAAAAGAGGTGAAATTTTCAAATTCATTCTTAGAAGTATCTATGACAAGGTGTCTTTGACATTGTTATTAAATCTTCTCACTGTAACACCTATTGGTAACTTTCTATCTTTCTTGAATCTAGTTGAATAAAAGAGGAGCAGGTCATAAGAGGAATCCTTCCTCCTAGTAACTGCCAGCCATTTCTTGAGTCATTAACTTTTTTGACAGGTCAAATATATTCATTACAAATGTATATGGAATCATGTCTAGGAAAAATGAGATATCAGATTCCAAATAACTGATTTACATGTGAATTTTCTAAATTTCTAAGAGTTACCCAGTTTATAAGTTCAAGGGCAATTATAGCCAACCTGACCTAAAAGTAGTTGCAGTCTAGAAGTCTGGTGGCATCTTATTTTGTCTGTTTTCAATCCTTTAGTATTGCTCCGAGTGTATGGACTACAGCATCCTCTGAAGTACTCTCCAATGCAAAGTGAGCCATGATGAATAAATATGTATGTAATATGCACACACACATACATTCATAATACACATATACAGAGAGGTTGAGATTTGGATGTTCACCTCTAGGAACATCCATGGGAATACAGAGTTCCCTTGATACTGTTTCTGAAGTTCTCTCATGGTAGGATTCTATATCTAACATTCTTTGTCTTTAAAGAAAACCTTTTTTTAAATTTTAATTGGAGAATAATTACTTTACAATATTGCGTTGATTTCTGCCATACGTCAACATGAATCAGCCATATGTATACATATGTCCCCTCGCTCTTAAACCTCCCTCCCACCTGTCTTTTGAAGTAGGAAAAAGATGGACGGGTCATAAAGGGGGTCTTTTTAAAATTTTTGTTTTTATTTTTGGCTGCACTGGGTCTTTGTTGCTGGGCAAGGGCTTTTCTCTGGCTGTGGTGAGCAGGAGCTACTCTTCATTTCAGCCACAGGCTTCCCACTGCAGTGGTTTCTCATTGTGGAGCACGGGCTCGAGTGTGCATGGGCTCAGTAGTTGTGGAACGTGGGTTTAGTTGCCCAGCAGTGTGTGGGATTGTCCCAGATCAGGGATTGAACCCGTGTCCTCTGCATTGACAGGCGTATTCTTAACCACTGGAACACCAGGGAAGTCCCAGAGGGGGTCTTTTATATTCTAATGTTTTTACCATGAGTGACACTCTATGAGACTGGGTAAGGAAGAAGAGCAACCTTGCCAAGTAAGGAGGAAATCGTTGTGGACAGGGAGCAGAGGAATCTCCAGCAAAAGAATGGAGCTAATAGAACACAGATTGTCCATGCCCCTCCAGAGCTTTTCACCATGAGAAGCTGGCACCCCAAACCCAAACTCATATCACATGGAAAGGACCCCTGATTTAGGCCTGCAGTTAATCTACAGTGTCTGAGGGCCAGGAAAGACAACCATGATAGGTGGGAGTTAGAGGGTGATGAAGAGACTTGAGAAACAGGAAATTATGTGGAGGACAAGGGATATGTACTTGCAAATTGAAGTTGAACTTGAAATAAGTACCACCCCAAAAGGTTGCTGTACATTGGGTTAGATTCAGTAGTAAAGAAATGCACTTATTCTTGAGTCATTAACTGTTTTGATAGGTCAAAAATATTTATTACCAACTATAAAGAATCAACTATATAGAATATATATACCAACTATATAGAATAGGGAAAATGAGATATTAGATTCCAAAGAACTGATTTATGTGCATAGCTCTTATGAGCTCCTATAAGTTCAAGAGTAACTGGCAGATTTGAGCTAAAAAAGTAAAAGTCTGGAAGTCATATGGTATCTTACTATTTCTGTTTTTCATCCTTTAGCACTGCCCTGAGTGAAATGACAGCAGCGTCATCTGCAAGATTCCAAATGGCAAAGTGAGATACGATAAATACATATATAATATGTACACACATATGTACATACATGCATAATGTATCTTAATTATATCTCTCTCAACACAGAGAGGTTAAGATTTGCGATGCTCACCCTTAGAAGCACCCATGGGGGTATTAGAGTTCCCTTGATACTGTTTCTAATATGCTCTCATGATGAGATTCTATGTGGAATATTCTTTGTCTTTTATAAAAAAAAATATTTATTTGTTTTTTGACTGTGCTGGGTCTTCATTGCTGCTTGCGGGCTTTCTCTAATTGCTGCCAGCAGGAGCTACTCCTTACTGTGGTGTGCAGGCTTCTCATTGCAGTGGCTTCTTTTATTGCGGAGCACAGACTCTAGGGCATGCGGGCTTCAGTAGTTGCAGCACTTGGGCTCAGTAGTTGTGACTCATGGGCTTGGCTGCTCCAAGACATGTGCGAATTTCCTGGACCAGGGGTAGAACCCGTGTCCCCTGCATTGGCAGGCAGACTCTCATCCACTGCACCACCGGGGAAGTCCCTATTCTTTGTCTTTTGAAATGAAGTAGAAAAAGAGACGCAAGACATAGAGGGAGTATTCTTACTCCTGGTCTTAACATCTCAGTTACTAGCAGCCAGAGTCTTGGAAAACTATCAGCTTGCCCATGTCTGAAACTCTGAGGGAGTAGGTTAGGGGAAGAGAAAAACCTGTCTGGAGCAAGGAGAATAATAGTAAATTGTAAATAGTAAGTAAAAGAGTAATAGTGTGGACAGGGAGCAGAAGTGGCCTCAACAGAAAAGAATGGAGCTAATAGACCCAGATCTGTCCCTTAGGATCCAGATTCAGCCACCATGTGAGGCTGATAATGCAAATCCAAGCCCATGATTGCTTTAGAGGGAGACTCTGACTCAGACCTGTGGTTACTTGACTGTATCTCGGGGCAGGAAAAACCAGCGTGTTTCCTATAGAACACAGACATGGTCAGGAAGTTAGGTTGGTCAAGAAAGATGGGTACCTACAAACTGAATCTGAGATAAATTCCACCCCCCAAAGGCTGTTATACATTGGGTCAGGTTCAATAGTAAAGAACTGAACTTAAATCTTGAGTCGTTACCTTTTTAAGAGGTTTAAGATATTCGTTGTTGTTTAGTTGCTGAATCCAATTCTTGTAGCCCCATGAACTTAACCTGCCAGACTCCTCTGTCCACGGAATTTCCCAGGCAAGAATACTGGAGTGGGTTGCCAATTCCTTCACGAGGAGATCTTCCTGACCCAGGGACTGAACACTTGTCTCCTGCATTGCAGACATATTCTTTACGGCTGAGCCATCAGGGGAGCCCTATTAAATATATATGGCTTTTCATAAAGCCTCATTTCTGCGGAAAATGACGTACCAGTTCTCAAATAATAGATTTACACACTGGTTTTTAAAGGGTCATATAGCTCATAAGTTAAAGCATAATTTAATGTGAACCAAAAAGTTTAATCTGGAAAATTATTTGATATCTGACTATGTACCTTTTTAATCCTTCAGCACTACCTTGACTGAATTGACAGCAGGAAAACCTACCACTGATGGACCTACCACTGAAATGTGAGATAGAAACAAAGAAGGGTTTAAACAAACATGTTTAAAAAAACACATAAATGCAAAAAAACCCCCAAACCACCACCACCACATAAATGCAGAGAGCAAGCACCTGGGAGAGAGAGAAACACGGGAAAGGGGAGAGAGGTTGCTATTTGAGAGGTTCATTTTTAGGAGTATTCATGATATAACAGCCTCTTTGACATTATTTCTGAAGCTTTTTGCTGTAGCCTATGTAAGTATCCTTATCTTTTTAAAAATCTTGTTGGATAAAAGAGAAACAGGTCATAAAACACAGATGCTTCTTAATCATCTGTTTCTCTCTTGTTTTGTCGCTAAGTTGTATTTCTTTTGCAACACCATGGACTGTAGCCCGCCAGGATCCTCTGTCCATGGGATTTTCCGGGCAAGAATACTGGAGTGGGTAGCCTTTCCCTTCTCCAAGGATTGGAGATTGAAGCCATATCTCCTGCATTGGAGGGCGGACTCTTTACCACTGAGCCACCATGGAAGCCACTTCTCTCTCTCAGGAGCAGTCAAACCCCCTAGGAATCTATCCAAATGCCTGTGTGAGAAGCTCTACTAAAGCGGGCCAATAAAGGAGAGAAACTTATTTTGAAGCAAGGAGAAGGCTGTACTTCTGAAGGGGCTCAGGTGTCAAGATATGCCCATAAACTTGATCCATTCCCTGCCCCACAGGACTAAGATTTTCATTATAATCATATAAAGCCTGGTTTACAGGTTTCAAGTGGCTGATTAGAATGTTATTTTGGGGACAACGAGGTTTTAAATTGTAGAGTATACGTGTGTGTGTGCGCTCAACTGTGTAGGACTCTTTGCAACCCCATGGACTGTAGTCCGTCATGCTACACTGTTCCTGGGGTTCTCCAGACAAGAATACTAGAGGGGGTTGCCATTTCCTTCTCCAGGGGATCTTTCTGACCCAGGGATCGAACCCATGTCTTCTGTATTGGCGGGTGGACTCTTTACCACTGGGCCACTTGGGAAGCCCAAATTGTAGATCCCTGGGTTGGAAAGATAATGCTGGAGAAAGAAATGGCAACCCACTCCAGTATTCTTATCTGGAGAATGCCATGGATGGAGGAGCCTGGTGGTCTATAGTCCATGGGACTGGTGCAGAGTCAGACAAAACTGAGTGACTAAGTCTACTATTCTTTCTGTAGTTAATTTGCATTTAAAAATAAGTCTAGGGAGACATGTAAAGTCTTATTGTGTGCATTTATAATCCTTTAGCTGTGACCAGAGCAAGGTGAAAAAAGTAACTTATGCTGAACCCTTCAATGAAAGGTGAGATATATATAGATAACAGTAAGGGGGAGGATATTGAGATTTGTGAAATTTATTCTGAGAAGCGGCTACTGGTAATACAAAGTTAACAAGACACTTTAGCTAAGATTTTTGTTTGTTTTTCCAGCCTCAACATGCTACTTTCTTTTTTGGATCTATTTGGGGGAAAATAAACAGGTCATAAAAGGAGTCTGCTTACTGCTAGTCTGTTTTGTTACCCTTAGTTAGGAGCAGCCACAACCCCGAGGAAAGTATCAGATTGCCCATGCATGGGCTGGGAGAGGACAGGAGAAGGTCTTGGTGGACAGAGAGCAGAGGGGAGCCCATAGCAGGAAAAAGATGTGTCTCATTTCCTGAATATGTCGCTCACCTTCCAGAGCTCAGCCTCTATGTGAGGCTGGTAACCCAAACTCACCGTTACACTGGAGGGAGGCCCTGCCTTGTCTTGACTGTATCTCAAGGGCTGGAAAGACATCTATGATTCATGAGGGGTTAGTGGACGGTGTAGGGACTTGAGAAGGCAGAAAATTATAGAACCTGTGAGATGAGTACCTACAAACCGAAGGTGAATTTTGAAGCAAATTTATCACAAAATGGTGTTACACTTGGGGATTGGGATCAGGAGTAAAGTACATACTTTTGATGTATTAAGTTTTCCCACATGACTAGGATTTTTCATTACTGATATTTCATTTCTACAGAAAAATTAAATACCAGGTTTTAAATAATTGATTAAAATGCTATTTTTCAGATAACTAGACTATCAATTGCAGAGTAATTATAGCTAATTTGTATTTAAAAAGCTATAAAACATATGGAGTCTTACTTTGTACATTTTAATCCTTTAGCTCTGACTTGTGTAACTTGAGAGGCACTGATGAAAGGTAAGATACAACTGGGGGAAATGGGAAGGAGGACGTTGAAATTCATGAAACCCAATTAGAGTCCCCATCTCAGGCAGTCTCCTAATTCCAGGAGAAAACAAGATATCCATAATATGTGAAAAGTAGGTGGTGCAGGGACCCAGGTTCCAAATAACTAATTAACATATACATATTAGAGTTTAACCAGTTTTTAACCAGAGTTTAACCAGTTCCAGAGCGAGTGTATCCAATTTCAGCCAAAAAAAGTTAAATCATTTGATGCTGGGTTCATTTTTAACCTTTTATATTGACCTGAATAAATTGACATGAAAGGTCTTTGACTACTTTGACATAGCTTCTCTTTCAACGGCAGTGCCATCCAAGACTGTTCAGATCATTTACTTGGGTCAGTGCTATCAAGAGAGTATTAATCTCTCAGTCTATATAGAAAAAGTGAGAAAGGCAGAGATTTATACAGGCTTACAGAGACAGAGGGAGAAATACAGATTTGCAAAATTCAGTCTCGGAAGGATTCATAGGAATACAGAATTTTCTAGACAATCATTCTACATTTCTTTCCGCAAGATTGGGTCTTCCAGTGAGCTAAGTCATGTCGACTACCTTTTAGATTTAAGGAATTCTTTTTGTTCAAGTAAATTTCTCATATCACTGTTCCATACAGCAGGTCTCTAATGATGTATTTTTGCCTTTGTTGGTGGTTGAAGTATGATAGAAGAGCTGTCCAAGATTAGTGATGTTGATGAAGACATTGACTTTCTCAATCCCCAATAGTAAGTCTGTTTGAAGTTTGGAGGGAGGGAGCTGTTGATGAATTTCTTACCTTTTGGAAGATGGGGCTCATGCTAAGGTGATGAGGAAAACTGTGGAAAGATAGCAAAATGTTTTGGAGGGAGGGTATAGAGTATTTGAATTTGTCTATAAGTACCATGCTTGAAAAAGTATTTCTACATATTCATAAGTGGGATATTCTTCTAGTTTTAAAATGTGAACATATTCTTAGTAGATACGAATTGTCCTACAAAATTTCTTAATCCAGGATTGCAGAATGCTACTTACCCTTCAGTTGTGTTCCTTTCTCATTTTTGCTGGGTGTGTCCTAATTCCTAATTTTATTGATTTTGTCTATGAGTAAATGGGACTGACAGCAAAAGCAAATGTGTTTTGCTGATTAAAGACCTCTTAATGTGCACTGGGATTTTATTAATTTCGACTTGTTTCTGAGTAATCTCATGAGAGTACTTCCTGTTGCACTCATCTGAAGGAATTTTTTCATCTGTACTCAGCTGCAAGGACACATTTTTAAAATCTCATGTGTCTGACTCGGCCTTTCCCCCAAGCTACTATGTATAAAATAAGCAGCAAGGATATATTGTATAGCACAAGGAAATATAGCATTATTTTGCAGTGGCTTTAAATAGAATACAATCTATAAAATTATTAATCACTATGCTATACACCTGAAAGTAATATAATGTTGTAAATCAATTATACTTCAGTTAAAAAATCCTATATGTTTGGACAGAATTATTCATCGATATTTTTCTTCTTATCTCTTGGCCAGTTATTTAACCACTCACCAACTTGAATTTATGGTGGGAAGTGAGTAGCACTAAAGAAGGAATTAACTGGTTACTGGTGCAATCTGTTGGTGTCTAGACAAAGATAAAATGAAAAATAAAGGGGTGACTCATGAATACAAATAGTCCTTCAACTTACCCATGAATTTCCTTTTTCTGTGTCTTTTCGTCATGGGCCATCAATGAAGAGTTCACTCTGCTACTTAATTAAATGATGTGTCTGCATATTAACTATATTTTCTGCAATGAGGCTGCCTAGGACTGGGGCAAAATTTGAGGACTGAGCAAGAAGAGCATTCCCTTCTTCTTACAAACAAAGTGTTAGTTTGGTTTTTAAATGACAAATGCTTCTTTATAGATTTGTGTGGAATAGTCCCTGTGTGAGAGACACTGGTGTTTCAGACTAGAGGGATAATACTAGATTTTGGAGTAAGATTTGGAATTGGTGCTTGGCTGTGGTATCTAAGTGAGCTTCCCTGGTGGCTGAGCTGGTAAAGAATCCATCTGTAATGCAGGAGACCCAGGTTCGATATCTGGGTTGGGAAGATCTCCTGGAGAAGGGACAGGAAACCCACTCCAGTATTCTTGCTTGGAGAATCCCATGGACAGAGGAACCTGGTGGGCTACAGTCCATGGGGTTGCGAAGAGTCAGACATGACTAAGCAACTAATACATATACACTTTGGCATTTCATATATGCTGGACACTTGGTGAAATATTAAGCCACTTTAAATTTTAGATCATTTATCTGTAAACTGGTAATAATGCTATCTACAATATCTACTGGGTGTTACACAATAAAGCTAAAAATAAAAGTAGAATAAAATGTAAATGCTTTTAAAACTCTGAAGCACCATAAATAAATTTTATACTAAAAACTAAAAATAAAGCAACAAAGGTCAATTTTTAGGAAAATCAGAAAATACAGACAAGCAATAAATCCTCCCATAAATAGGCATTCTTATTTTTCAATAGATGCTCTTCAAGATTCTTTAGGCTTACGAATTATTTATTTATGGATATATGTTGTTTAAAAATAACCTTGTTACTTAGTGATATATCATGAGTATATTTCCATGCATTTGCATTTACACCATTATATGTTTGTTGATTTCTAAACTTGCAACCTTCCTACTGACAGCTGTGTAATAATTCATGGTAAATGTTTTAAATTGTCATTTATTTAAATTGTCAGATATTTCTGGACTCTTAAGCTGTTTAGGACATTTACTATTACAAAAAATGAAGACTAATTTTGAGAGCAAATCTCTGTATATTTTATTTCTTTAAAGTAAAAATTCTCCTCAGTGGAAATTCTATGTCAAGGGAAATGTTTGAGGCTATCGATTTCAATGTGCCTTTCCACATGAAGATGCAGTGTGCTCTTTTTCTCCCTTCCCACACTAGCTCAATGATCTCTTCAATGTCAGTGAATGTTTGTTCTAATGCTCATTTGACTTTGTTTTTGTTTATACTTATTTTCATAGAAACTTTATTTCATTGTCTTCAGTCTACCTTTGCCCATTTAAAATTGGGGTGTTTATCACTGCCATTGGATAGAAAAGTTAAATATATCACTTTTATATCCCAAAAAGTGCAAGTAGCTTTTCCCATTTTGCTTAGATTTTCACTCCATAGAAGTTTTATAATCCTCACACAGTCAAATATATCTATGCCTTTCTTTATTATTTATGCTTTAAGTGTCAGAAAGTCTTTCTCTACCTACGATTCTAATATATTCTCCAAAATTTCATCTGTTTTGAATTTATTTTCTACATTAAAGTAAAACATCTGCCCAGAATTTCTTTTCTATTAAGGTATAAAATGTAGGAATCTCCTTTTCTCCCAGGTGAGTACTTCATTATCTCAGCATCAAAACTGTCCCTTCTGCCATTGTCCTTGCCCTAATTTAATGATCCTTATTGCACTTACCACCTTAGAAAGATAAAAGTAGAATAATACATAAGTGCTTTTAAAACTCTAAAGCACCGTAAATACATTTTACACTAAAAACCAAAAATCAAACAGCAAAAGTTAATTATTAGGAAAATCAGAAAATATAGACAAGCAATAAATAGGCATTCTTAATTTTTAATAGATGCCCTTCAAGTTTCTTCAGACTTATAAATTCTTTGTTTATGGATATGGTATCATGCTTACATTGTTTTAGAAATATTCTTATTAGTGACATATCATGAATGTATGTACTATATTGTGGTCAGCACAAGACAGAATGCTAACATCCTGATGGAAGAAAATCTTGTCCATTTTAACTGCTGTCTCTCTAGTGCTTCCAACGGTGCCATGGCAGATAGTAGGCACTCACTGAGTTTGGTTGAATGAATGAACCCATTATTGAAAAAAATTTATATCTTGTTCAATGACTTTCAAATCCATCTCTATTATACTCTTTACATTGAGTCTTTCCAGAATCTGTTTTATTTGTGTTTTCCAGCCTTTTGAGTTTAGCACACTTTACACATTATGATACAATTTACAGTGAACCAAAACATTTTTTAAAAACCTAAGTTCCATCTTTTCCTCCTCCCCCTTTCTGATTTTGTTGTCTCAGATGACATCAACCTTTGCTCGCCAAGCCTGGGTAGGGAAGATGAGTGCTGATGGAGAAGGGAGAAATTAGAGGGAGTGGGGAGATCTTACCACTCAGCTTAGCCTCAGAGCACCCATCTGCGGCCCATTTTGCCAGTGCCCCAGTTCTGCTCGGCCTCCGACCCCTCCCTTCACTGCTTTGGGATCAAATCCCACTGGGGGTGGAAATGGGCTCTCATGTGGCGGCTTTAGCAGGGCAAGAAATTGTTCCCCGATGGCTGCCTTGTCTGCTGCCTTATGGTTGGGCTTCCCTTGTGGCTCAGCTGGTAAAGAATCTGCCTGCAATGCAGGGGACCTGGGTTTGATCCCTGGGTTGGGAAGATCCCCTGGAGATGGGAAAGACTCCTGTATTCTGGCCTGGAGAATTCCATGGACTGTACAGTCCACGGGATTGCAAAGAGTCGGACACGACTGAGCGACTTTCACTTTCTGCCATACGGTAAAACGAAGCCTAATTGCTGGTGCTACAGAACTGTGTCCTCCTTCTCCTAACGGAAGGAGCCCAGCCTCTAGGGTGTTTCTCCTTTGAAGTGCTTCTTATTAAAATTCCTTACCCCTATAGTGCACTTGCCACCCCCAATCTCATTAGTGTTTAACTGTCATATTCATGGGTGGCTTGGGTCAAGAAATAAATATTACCAGAGGAGAGCTTCCCCGAAGCCCCTTATTCTACTGCTATAGAACAGGTCTGGCCATGGTTTGATGACTTGCACAGGATCCCACAGCTTACTCATGGGAGACTGAGCTTATACCATTCCCTTCTGTTTCCATGCTATGTTGCTTTAGTTGATGACCCCAAGCTTAATCTTACCATAAAGTTGGGGTTAGGGCTTTACAGTCAAGAGAAGTGTTGCTAAACATTCAAAGTTCAGTGTTTTATTCACATATATTCTATATAGGAAAGTAAAAGAAAAAATCAGGAAACGTTTTTATGTGTACTTGTGCTCACTTTTTAAGTCATGTCTGATTCTTTGCAACCCTGTGGACTGTAGCCCCAGCAGACTCCTCTATCCATGGGATTTCCCAGGCAAGAATGCTAGAGTGGGTTGCCATTTCCTTCTCCAGAGGATCTTCCCAACCCAGGGATTGAACCCGAGTCTCCTGCACTGGCAAGCAGGTTCTCTGCCACTGAGCCACCAGGGAAGGCCATAGTTACTAATAAGTGTTTTGTTGGGCAATTTCTAGGTGCTTTAAAAATTATATTTGTCAATATAAAGGCCTTTGTTGGTTAAATTCATACTACATGTTAGGAGAAATCTGATACACTTGAAAAATAATTTCCTGAAAAATAATTTCAGATAAGCTCTGAAATCTTATTTTTACTTCCATTTGCAGCAGCAAGATAAAGAGAATTGTGTACTTAATTATATCATCCTTCACTTTCAGGTATGTGAGACTCTAGAGATGGAGGTAATTAAGGATGTATTACATTTAATATAGATATTTTTTATGGCAAAAGATCTGGGAGGGGGAGGGGCATTTCCACTGTCGACATGTTGCTAAATAACCTTTGTACCCCATTTAATGGAATCTAATTTATCTTGGAATTTTAATTGAAGCTGAATATTAAGAATTGTGAAGAAATGGCATTTACCCAAGTCTAATAGTAATGCATTAACATGTCTTTTTCTACCTATAAAAGTAAAAATAATGAAATATGCATTTCAAAATTCTATAGTTACAAGGAAAGTGTTTTAGTAAATATTCATCTAGAATTACTCGTTAATTCTAGATTCATTTTATTTAGATGGTTCATTTCTACATGATAGTAAGATTTTATACTGTGTTACAGATTCACACAATATACTTACTTCCTTTTTAAGTAATAACATTTTAATTTGCATTACAATTGTGGAAAAGTACTTTGAAGTTTATCTTTACAGGTTATATAAATAGTATAATCAACTTATGGGCAATGCGTTTAGCATATATAAGAGAAAGGCTTAGGAGGTACTTTAAAATTCAATCATGTATGTATTTATGGAATTGAATTCCTTCTTACATGCCCAGAAGCATCCACTAACACGTAATCCACAGGCTCCTCTATGTAATTCTCCAAGCAAGAATACTGGAGTGGATTGCCATTCCCTTCTCCATGGGGTCTTCCCAACTCAGGGACTGAACTTGAGTCTCCTGTATTGCAGGCAGATTCCTTTACCACTGAGCCACCAAGGAAGCCCATATTTGTTGGTAATCTCACTGATGATAAGTCTTACTGGTCAAAGTGTTGTTTTTTTTTTTAAGGGCTTATGTTAGTCATACTTTCACTTGACTTTTTATTACTAAATTCTATAAAAATATAAAGATTAATGAGGTTTAATTTATTATGAGAAATTGGTAGGAGGCTTCTGAAAGTCTCAAATTTGAAGAGTTTACAAGTGGAGACATGTACTTTTAATGTAGTTTACCTGTTCTGTCTTGGAGTGTCAGTCTGATGTGTCTATTATAAAAGGGCACAATACCATAAAGTGGTTTAGTGGGAAATTTATTTTCCTAATGGCTGCTTCTATTGAGTGAAAACAGAGCGATTTATTTATTTTTTGAAAATAGAAATAATGTTTTTTTTTTAAACTTTTTATTTTGTACTGGAGTGTAGCTGATTAGGGCTTCCAAGGTGGCACAGGTGGTGAAGAACACACCTACCAAGGCAGGAGATGTGGGCTTCCCTGGTAGCTCAGACGGTGAAGCAGTTGCCTACAACGCGGGAGACCTGAGTTCGATCCCTGGGTCGGGAAGATCCCTGGAGAAGGAAATGGCAACCCACTCCAGTATTCTTGCCTGAAAAATCCCATGGACAGAGGATCCTGTTAGGCTACAGTCCATGGGGTCGCAAAGAGTCGGACACGACTGGGCCACTTCACTTCACCAAGGCAGGAGATGTAAGAGACGAAGGTTCCATCCCTGGGTCAGAAAGATGCCTCTGGAGGAGGGCATGGTAACCCACTCCAGTATTCTTGCCTGGAGAATCCCATGGACCGAGGAGCCTGGCGGGCTCCAGTCTGCACCATAGCACAGAGTTGGATACCCTGAAGTGACTTAGCACACGCACATAGCCAATTAACAATGTTGCATTTTGTATTGGGGTATAACCAGTTAACCATGTTGTCATAGTTTCAGGTGAACAGTGAAGGGACTCAGTCATACACATACATGTATCCATTTCCCCCCAAACTTCCCTCCCATCCAAGCTGTCACATAACATTGAGCAGAGTTCCCTGTGCTACACAGTAGGTCCTTGTTGGTTATGCATTTTAAACATAGCAGTGTGTATGTATCCAGCCCAAACTCCCTAACTCTCCCTTTCCCCCATCCTACCCTCTCAGTTCAGTTCAGTTGCTCAGTCATATCCGGCTCTGCAACCCCATGGACTATAGCATGCCAGACTTCCCTGTCCATCACCAACTCCCGGAACTTGCTCAAACTCATGTTCATCCAGTCAGTGATGCCATCCAACCATCTCATCCTCATCCCCTTCTCCTCCTGCCTTCACTCTTTCCCAGCATCAGGGTCTTTTCCAATGAATTGGTTCTTTGCATCAGGTGGCCGAAGTATTAGAATTTCAATTTCAGCATCAGTCCTTCCAATGAATATTCAGGACTGATTTCATTTAGGATGGACTAGTTGAATTTCCTTGCAGTCCAAGGGACTGTCAAGAGTCTTCTCCAACACCACAGTTCAAAAGCATCAAAAGCATCCTTCCCCCTGGGCAACCGTAAGTTCGTTCAGAGTAATTTGAGACTCAAAAGCAGAGCATTTCTCCCTACTAATGAATAGTTTAATTTGGAATAATGACATTTTTATATCAGATCATTGGGCTGAAATTAGTCTGTCTGTGTAAAAATCACTTTATCCTTATTCAGTTTATTTATTTGTTATAGAATATTTGCAATCCTGCTGATCTTTGTGGACATGGCCCTCATCATCAAAGACATAATTTTCTTTAGTGGCACGATATATATTTCTTTGGAATCTCGTTTAATTTCTCTTGCTATTGCTTTATTTTTTTTCATGGATATTTCTCTTCGAGTGTTTATAGAAGGGTAAGTTTTATTAGTTTTTTAAAAAACACATAGAACTGTTTTGTACTATAAGAGGCATCCCCAAGTAATTAGCAGGTCAATGCAACCAAATATGCCCCTCTTTGTCAAAATAAATCTCTTTGAGGCATGGAGAAACAAGAGAAATGATAGCCCAAATCCCAATTTCTACTAGATTTTGCTTTAATATTATGGTTGCAACTGGCACTCTAATCTCCAAACCATGTATTCTGGATGGTTCCTTTAACAGATAAAGCTAAAGGGTTTGAAGAATGGGGCCAAGCAGCTAGTATGTCTACATTCACATTATTAAGAGGAATATATATGTGAAGCATAAATATTGGTAGTTTCACGAAGAGTCGAGTGTAAATAAAATCTGTTGTTTAGTCATGTCTGACTCTTTGGGACTCCATGGACTTCAGTACGCCAGGTTTCCTTGTCCTTCACTGTCTCCTGGAATTTGCTCAGATCCGTGGCCATTGAGTCCGTGATGCTACCTAACTCTCTCATCCCCTGCCACCCCCTTCTCCTTTTAGCCTTCAATCTTTCCCAGCATCAGCTGACAGTGTATTAAATACTGGGTAATAAATCACCAACAAGTACCTACCTCAGCTGAAATAGAAACTTGTGGTAAGGTTCCCGAAGAGCTGAGGGATGCACATCCCAGTGGGGGGGCTCAGGAGAGAGGCAGCGACTGGCTTTCTTGGCCGCCGGCTTCCTGGGAAGGTGGGAATGCAGCCTCGGAGCTGCACTGCTGTGAAGTCAGGGACTCAGTTCCTCAGCCTCACTTCACCAGAACACTTATCTCCTCTCCAGCTGAAGCCTCTGCCCTCAAATCTCTGGGCTTAGGACAGTTGCCCACTCCCAGGTTATCCCCAGCCTAAAAGAGGCTACCCCAGCATTGCAAGAGGCTTTCTCTGGAGCCTCATTGCCCATGGCTGAAGGAGCCAGTGTTGGGGAGGAGATGCAGACAGGAGAAGTTCCCCTCTGCACAGAGGAGGCCACACCAGCCCACTGGGATTCCACTGTGGGGATGAAGCCAGGGATGAGTTTGCTGGCCAAAGCGGTGGACGTGTCTCCCTCTCACAGTCTCCTCTTGTGCCCCCCTCACAGTCTGTTTTTCTAGGGCTGTGACATGTTTAGCTTTCATTGCCTGATAGCTCGACCCACCATCTCATCTTTCTCTCCCCTCTGTTGTGAAGATAGTGCTTCCCTTTTTTTCAGTGGTTTGATTACATCTTGTTCACTGGTTTGGTTATACCTCTTACTGTACTTACGTTGCAATATGGATGCTTTTGTCATATGTAAATCTAAAATAATGAACATGAATATTTTTTCTCTTAGTCTGGTAAATGTACTTTCAATCATTCATTAAAGCAGAATTAAGAGGGGGGGATGAGTCAAATAAATTTATCCTCTTAAAATATGCTGATTTCTTTGGGGAAGCATCAGCTTGCATTTTTTTTGTGTTTTTTTTTTTTTATTATAGGATACAACTGTATTTTTCTGATATATTTAACTCCTTAGATGCTGCCATTATTATTGTGACTCTACTGGTTGATATCACTTATCTTTTTTATGATTTTACACTTACTAAAATTTTTCCCAGGTAAGAAACATATCCTTTGTCTCTCAAAGTTTTTCTTTGTAAAAAAAACTAGTATCTGTGACTCTCATTTTATGTAATCTTTTTTAAACTCTAAATGTGCTGATTCTGTTCTAAATATGCTGGAAAATGAAATGTTAAGATAAATTTCCACATACTTGTAAATAAAAGGATGGTGGTGTTTAGGGTCCAGCAAAGGGTGGTACCTTCCACTGAATGAAGAAGATGGTGCCTCCAAAAAAAGAAACTGGGGACTTGCCTCTTGTCCTAACTTGAACTCTTCCCACTCGCTAAGTTTCCACTTGTGCATCAACAGCAGATTTCTCACATGTGAAATTCCTGGGTTTTTCCTATAACCCAGAGTTGATTTGGTTTGAGTTGATGCAAAATTTGAGTGACTTCTATGATGATTCTCTAAAAATGAACAAATGGAACAGAAAACCAGGTGACTTGGATAGCAACACAGAAGTAGAATTTTTGCAGTATAGTTGACATGATGTAAGCTGAGGTGAAGTTAGAACTGTTAGGGATCAAACAAAAATGTGTGAGAGACCAATGGCTTTTTTCTTTTCCCTCCTCTTCTTTCTACTGTGGCAGTGAGAAAAAGAATAAAAGTGTCCTGGGATGTGGCTGTTGGGTGACTCACTAGGCTTATTCCTGAGTCAAATAGTGTACTGCTTTTTTTGCACTCTGGCATCTAAGGACTTTTATTCAGGTCCCAACAAAATTTAATATGATAAGCTTTTGGAGATTTTTTTTTTAAATAGCCAAAGCCAGTGTGGTCCTTAGATAGGCAATGTCAGGATCAGTGAAGAGCTTATCAGAAATACAAAAACAATACCACCTCAGGGCCTACTGAATCAGTGTGCATGCTCAAGTTAGAGAAGCACTAGCCCAAACCATCACTTCTATGCCATCATGTTTCCTCCTGATGGTAGGAGACACACTTGGAAAGTAACTCAATCTGCTGCTTGTGTGATGTATGTTCACAGCTCAGGTGAGCCCTGTTACTCATGGGAGTGACAGAGAGGAACAGGATTCTCTTTTGATGGGAAAATTCTTGTCCTAAATCCACTGAAGTTAAATCTATGCATTCTGAGAGTCTATCGTGGTTTTTCTTTAAACCAGAGTTTCCTCAACCTAGCACTATTATTTTGATTTTTGAATTAAAAAAATTTTTTTTTAAATTTTTGACCGTGTAGGTTAGTTCTCTAACCAAGTTGAACCCAAGCTCCCCTGCAGTGAAAGCACAGAGTTTTAACCACTGAACTGCCAGGGAAGTCCCAGTATTGGGAGCTGTCCTGTGCATTGATACTGACCAGCATCCTTGGCCTCTACCCACTAGATACAAGTAGCAATACCCGCCCCCTCCCCCCCAGCCCACAGGCTGTTGTGACAACTAGAAATGTCTCTGAACATTGCCGAATATGCCTTGGGTGGGCAGGAGGGAAGCTGGGGTGGGGTGGAGAGTATAGCAAAATTGCCCTCGGTTAAGAGCTGCGGCTCTAGACTTAGTCTGTATTGACAAAATCCTCTATTTCCAAAGCAAAACTGAATCTTTTAAATTTATTGTTAGGTTGAGAATTATTTTACAACCTGTAAGACTTGTCATTCTGATAAGAGTTTTTCATCTGGCTCATCAAAAAAGACATCTTGAAATGTTGACCAGAAGGATGGTAAGTGGGTGAAATATGCTTACTTTTCAGAAAAAAATGTTTGCATTTTGGGAAATACTGTTTAGGGTTGTAGATATCTATATATTGTTCTTTGTTCCTTTTTTTTTAATGTTGGTTTATGTATTACAAGTGAATGACTGTTATAAACTCTTAGGTTTCAGGAAACAAACGGCGGTACAAGAAGGATGGATTTGACTTAGACCTCACTTATGTTACTGGTTTGTGAAGTTTATCTGTTGATTGCTTATATTAACACCATATTTTTCATGTGTGTGAGTAATTATATGTTTAGTTTTGCCCTAAGTCATGTTCTTGCAATGCATTCTTTGTCCGTGAAGACTTATGCCACTATGGTAATGACATATTTGGAGTGTAACCCTGACAATGGAAAAATCTTAATTTTCACCTCAAATCAGGGCTACTTGGCTATAGCATAGGAAGTTGCATGGGTTTTCAGCTGAAGTCATTTGTTTGGTTTAGAATTTATTAAGTTTTAGTAGTTATCCTTGGTCTCAAGGTTTTCAGAGAAACCTCTTCTCTTGCTGGAACCCTAGTGATGAGGTTGTTGCATTTAGGTCTCAGGTTTCTGAATCAAAGGGACGCTGGAAAACCTCCCAGGAGGTCCTAACGTTGTCGGAGCCCAGATCTCTCATTTTCCTTTGGTGTTTAAGAAACCAATTCCGACCACAGGGGGTGCTCCAGACTAAAGTTATTGCTTAATTCTTGAACCGTTTGAACAGACAAATCTGTTGCTTAAGTCTTGAACCATTTGAGTCTTGGGAACATTAAGTGTAATGATCAAAACAGTGAATACTTTCATATGTTATGCTGATTATCCTGAGGGTTAGTTCGCTTTTTCTCTGGTCATTCTCATCCTGAAAATTCTTTTCTATAGAAAAGGAGTCTGATTATATGTAAATTGAGTTCTCATATATTGTTTCACATGTATAACATTTGTAATAGTGACTGTTTTGACTTCCAGAGCGTATTATTGCCATGTCATTCCCATCTTCTGGAAAGCAGTCTTTCTACAGGAATCCCATTAAGGTAAACGTTTTTAATCTAACAGAAGCTCACATTTCTCAGCAAACATAGATTCTGGAGTCATAAGATAACCTTGGCCCAGAGACAGCAGTACTCTCCTAAAAATGTACTCTTAAAAAATAAAAATAAATAAATGAATAAATAAAAATAAAAATGTACTCTTTCAGACAAAAAGAATTCTCATGGGTTGTTATCTGTTAGCATTTGCTGTGCTATCAATTACCCCAAAACTTCAGTGACTTGCAACAGCAAACATTGACATAGCTCATGACAACATGATTTGTAAATTTGAGTTAGGCTTAACTGGCTGGCTCTGCCAATCAGGAATTGGCTTCACTAATCTTGGCAGAGCTAACTTATGCATCTGTGGGCAACACCTGGGCATTAGAGGATTGGCTAGTCTAAGATGGCATGCCTGGAAGCTCCATGTGATTCTCATTCTCCAACAGGCTAGCTCAGGCTTGTTTACATAAAGGAGTGGCAAGGACCTCATTATCATCCAGCCAAAGAATGCCGAACCTCCAAAGGCCCAGGATCCAAACTAGTGTAATGTGGCTTCTACCTCATTCTATTAGACAAGCCAGCTACAAACCCAGTTCAGATTCAGACAGACAACAGATACCATCTCTGTTGTATCTGTGGGGAATTGTGGCCATTTTTCATGGTCTGTCATAGGGGAAAAGATGGAGAATTCTTTAACTAAAAATGTCTGTTCTTAGGTTAAGATCCTAAATTACAGTGGATACATACTGCTTCAGGTTCTATAGGTTAAATAAATTAAGTTCAAACATCAAATGATGTTTACTATGAAATTCTAGTTAAAAGTAATTGTTTAAGAAGTTTTCATATGTGTGTGGATGTGTATGCGTGCATGCTCAGTTGCTTCAGTCATGTCCAACTCTTTGCAACCACATGGAGTGTAGCCCATTGGGCTCCTCTGTCCTTGGGATTCTCCAGACAAGAATACTAGAGTGGGTTGCCATGCCCTCCTCCAGGGGATCTTCTCGACCCAGGGACTGAACCTGCGTCTCCTATATTGCAGGCAGATTCTTTACCCTCTGAGCCACCTGGGAAGCCCTGTGGATGTGTATACGTTAGTGTATATCCATTTGTTATATCTCAATAAAATGTAATTATGTATATGTGTGTATGTCTATATATCTATATATCAGTGTACCTATATACACGTGGGTATGTTATTATACTTTGAGGCCAACAAATATTGTAAATTGCACTAACCTTAAATGTGTATCTTGATTAAAATAATATATAGGTATATATGCATATAACCAACACCCCTATCAAAATGTGGAGCACTTCTTGCTCTTTTTCAGTCAATACCCTGATATACTGGAATTAATTACTGTTCTTACTTTTGTCACAATAGATTAGTTTTACTTTTTCTTAAATTTCACATAAATGGAATCACATACTATAGCTTTTTACACTTACAATAAATTCTGTGAGATTTGTCCAGTATTATTGTGTATACCATAATATAATAGTTGTACTTATAATTATATAAAGTACAGTTCTTTCTAAATAGCATAACATTAATATTTTTTGCTTCTGGAATATTGATTGGAAGCCCAAGCATTCAGTTTACTTACAGAAATTATACAATTATATATTGCTTCACGAAAGCAGCCAACACATCACATTCTAAAAATTCAGAAAATTAAAAATTCTAAATACCAAGAGGTGCATCTGAAGAAACAGATACAAATTTGGCAGCCAGTAATTTTAACACAGAAGTTGTACGCATCTCATGACTTTAAGTCTGTGAATATGATATTCAGACAGTTAGCTCGAGTCCATCATTAAAGTAATTTATTCATTTTTCCTGTATACTTGTGTTTCATACATCAATATTTGCATACTCTGGAATATGTTAGAAAGAAATGTATAATATTCACAAATGTGCAGAAAAGCAAGCAAAAACTGTAAACCTGCCCAGTTCGTCTGAGAAAATCTCATGTCAGCTTCATAAGCATATTCCTTCTACAAAACAGTAAGCTAAGTAACTATATCTAAGGTAAAGCACATTTTCTTACAAATAATGAAGTCTTTTTCTCACCATAGAAGTGTGCAAAAAGAATTTTAGTTAGATCTCTCAGAGTGTGTTTAACTTCATAAATTCAACAGGCTTAAGGTTTCCAAGCATTAACAAGGATCAGATTTTAAATTAGAGGAGAAAGAATCTGTCTTGAAAAATGTGACTCCTTTGTCACCAACTAGAAAAATGATCCAATTCATATCTTATCAGTTCAGTTCAGTCACTCAGCCGTGTCTGACTCTTTGCGACCCCATGGACAGCAGCATGCCAGGCCTCCCTGTCCATCACCTACTCCTGGAGCTTGCTCAAACTCATGTCCATCAGGTCGGAGATGCCATCCAACCATCTAGTTCTCTGTCATCCCCTTCTCCTCCTGCCTTCAATCTTTGCCAGCATCAGGGTCTTTTCCAATGAGTCAGCTCTTCGCTTCAGGTAGCACTGGAGTTTCAGCTTCAGCATGGTATCTTATAGAAACAGAAAATACAGCATTTCTTCCTCAGAATAATGTGTGTAAATTATATATACTCTATATTATATATACTATATATAATAAATTAGGTAATATACAGTCATATATTTAATTATATATTGATATATTAATATTTCTCTCAAAATAGTATATTTTTAAATAAAATATACATTATAGTATATATTCAGTTCAGTAGCTCAGTCATATCCGACTCTTTGCAACCCCATGAATTGCAGCACACCAGGCCTCCCTGCCCATCACCAACTCCCAGAGTTTACTCAAACTCATGTTCCTTGAGTTGGTGAAGACATCCAAGCATCTCATCCTTTGCCGTCCCCTTCTCCTCACGCCTTCAATCTTTCTCAGAATCAGGGTCTTTTCCAATGAGTGAGTTCTTTGTATCAGGTGACCGAAGTATTGGAGTTTCAGCTTCAGCATCAGTCCTTCCAATGAACACTCAGGACTGATCTCCTTTAGGATGGACTGGTTGGATCTCCTAAATATATGTTAATATGATATATAAAATTAATATATTAAATATATATCATGTTATATAGTATATAATTATATATCATAAATATATATCCATTTTATGTAGCATTAATATTCCATTTATAAATATTTACTACATATATAGTATACATTTCAACTGTTATAGAAACAAAAATATAACAGTTCCCCCTTTATAATATATGTATATTTACATGTAATTTATTATATATACTATATAATATAAAATTATAAAACCTATGTAATAGTTTTTATATTATGTGATACAATTATGTCATTTAATCATATAGTATACAAATATACATATATTCTGAATATATTAATATATGTAATACTATCAGTATATAGACATTTATAATTTATAATTATATAATTATGAAATTATATAAAAATAATTCTACATATTTCTTTGTAATGTTCTGTTATATAATATAATATGCATGATCTTACATATATATAGAACATATAATATGTTACACATAAATATGGGCTTCCCTGGTAGCTCAAATGGTAAAGAATCTGCCTGAAATGCAGGAGATCTGGGTTTGATCCCCGGGTTAGGAAGATTCCCTGGAGAAGGGCATGACAATCCACTCCAGTATTCTTGCCTGGAGAATTCCATGGACAGAAGAGTCTGGCAGGCTATAGTCCATGGTGTCCCAAAGAGTTGGACATGACTGAACAGCTAACACTTATACTTTTTCACACATAAATATACATATATTATTCTATGGGAGAAAATTTTTTATTTTTGTGTTTCTGTAAGAGATGAACATATAGGTAATTTATATTTTTAAATAAAAATTGTATATAACTACCATGAAGCACTTTAACTCATATGGTAAATGTGACTATGGTAACTATGGTTACCATACCATATGGTAACTATGACTGAAATATAAAAACTGCCAGAGCTGTCAGAAGAAGACTGGAAGTTTTTTTGTATATGTATTATCTGAACATAATACTCTCCAAAAGAATTAAGGATTGCAATTATTACTTTCCGGTTTAAACACTTTAATTCTAAAAATCTAAACACGAGTCGCTGATTTAAACAGATCCTCTCCCACCTTCCAAAAAGTATTTAGTAGCAAGACCCAGTAAAGCTGATATTCATAATTTTCTACGTGAATAATTCTTCCAGAATTTATCCCATGAAGTACTTTATGACCTCCTTTTCTTGTAAAATGAAAACTCCATTTGTTTACATAAAAATTTCAAAGAGTGTAAAACTAGAACTGAGTGTGAACTACTGAAAGTCTCTAAAGAGTCTTGTTCTGTCGGTTCGTCAGTGACTTCTGTGACTTCACAATTGTTTCCTGTGGGTGGTTCTGAGCGAACCTCTCCAGTTCTGCTGGTGTTGGATCCTCCTAGTTCTTCTATTTCATGACAGCTGGAATCCTACTTGCAGGGCCTCTATTTTCACTATCTGCAGAATCTAGGTCTTTCTCATCCTGAGACAGAGGAGATTCTTCTATTGATTATTTTCCACAGAAGTCTCTTCATTTATAGTTAAGGCATCATCAGATTCTTTTTCTCGATTTTTTTTCTCTGGACTCATTTCTGTTGATGTTGTTAAAGACTCTTTTCCTCTTCATCCTCTTTGTCTTTACTCTTAGATAAAGCTGGTTCTTCTGTTTCTTCTGCCATAACCTGTCCCTAGAAGTTGCTCGGCCATCTCTGACATCGTCTTCTTTGTCATACTTGAGTTTTTTTTAACCTCATGCCCCTCAGCTTCCAGACCATCTTCATTTGGAAGTTTATTTTCTATACGGCTTACCGAGGAATCCTTTGATCCAGATGTCAGTCACTGTGATTTTTGTCTTCAATCGTGCTGTAAGTTGGTCAAAACTTTTGCTGACTGTGCTTCAGGCAAACACTTACTACTTCCTCTCTCCCTCTGTTCCACTCTTATTCTTTCTCCTTCTCTCTCTCTCTCTTTCTTATAAATTTCTGGAGTACAACATTATGATTCAACATCTGTATACACTACAAAGTGATCACTGCCACAAGTCTAGTTGCTATCTATCGCCATAAGAGTTGACCCTCGTTACTTATTTCAGGCACACCCAAAACCCCTTCCCCTCTGGTAACCAGGAATCTGTTCTCCGTATCTTTGCTTGGTTTCATTCTCTTTTGTTTGTTCATTTTATTTTTTTAGGTTTCACATATGAATGAAATCATATGCTGTTTGTCTTTCTCTGCCTGACAGTTTCACTTAGCATAGTGCTTGCAGGGTCCATCCATGTTGCTGCAAATGATGGACTTTGTTTATGATTGAATAGGAATATGTGTGTACACATGTGCTTGTGTGGATCACATCTTTATTCATCCATCGATGGACATTTTTGTTGTTTCTGTATCTTGGCTATTGTTAATAATGCTGCAGTGAATGGTGTATCTTTTGGAATTTGTGTTTTTTGTGTTCTTTGGGCATATACCCATAAATGGAATAGCTGGGATTATATGGAGTTCTAGTCTTAATTTTGGGGAGAATCTCTATGCTTTTTTCCATAGAAGTTGCTTCAATTTACAGTCCTACCAATAGTGTTGAAGGATTCCCTTTTCTCTACATCCTCTCTTAACATTTTTTATTTCTTATTTTTGATAATATAATAGCTATTCTAACAGGTGTTAGGTTATATCTTGATGTGCATTTCCCTATGGATTAGTGATGCTGAACATTTTTTCATGTGCCTGATGGTCATCTGTATATCTTTTTTGGAAAACTGTTTGTTCAGATCCTCTACCCATTTTTTATTGTTTTCTCTGTTTATTTTTAAATTGTATAGTTCTTAAGTTTTGTATATTAACCCTTTACTGGATATACGAATTGCAGATATCTTCACCCATTCAGTTAGATTGTCTTTTTGTTTTGATAATAGTCCGTATCACAGTACAGGGGATTTTTAGTTTGATGTAGCCTCATTTGTTTCTATTGGCTCATTTCGCTTGCCTTTGGAGTCAGATCCACAAAAACATTGCTAAGACCAATGTCAGTGAAGTTACCAGCCATGTTTTCTTCTAGGAATTTTATGTTTTGACATCATACATTCAAGTCTTTAATCCTTTTTGAGTTATTTTTGTGTGTAATGTGAGATAATGGCTGCATGTGGCTGTCTAGTTTTCTCAGCACTGTGTGTTAAAGAGATCATCCTTTCTGTATATTGTTTTCTCCTTTATCGTAAGTTAATTATCCATATGGGGCTTCCCAGGTGGTGCTAGTGGTAAAGAACCACCTTCCAATGCACGAGACTTAAGAGATGATGCAGGTTTGATCCCTGGTTCGGGAAGATCCCCTAGAGAAGATCCTCTACCCATTTTTAATTGTTTTTCTTTGTCTGTTTTTAAGTTGCATAGCTATCCATATATGTGTGGATTTATTTCTGGGCCCTCAATTCTGTTCCATTGATCTATGTGTCTGTTTTTGTGCCAGTACCACGCTGTTCTGATGACTACAACTTTGTATTAATAGTCTAAAATCGGGGAGCATGATAAAATCAGGGAGCAATAAAGCTCTGGCTTTGTTCTTCTTCCTGAAGATTGGCTTTTTAGGATCTTTTGTGGTTCTGTACAACGTTTAGAACAAATTACAATTCCTTAAAGCTCATTTACCATCTAATTTCCTTACCTGGTGTATTTATAGTAAAGGCTAATTTGAGTATAAAAGTACAACTTTGTGAGCTATTTGAAAACTCACAAATGGTTTAGATATAACTTGGAATGCATTTTATTCATTGAATCTCCCCTAAAGGTGCTAAGTGAGGGAAAAGTGAATAAAAGGTAATAATCATTCTAGGTTAGTAGTGGGGAAAGGTTTATGTTGGTGCACCATGGACACATATATAAGATGTGTATCCATCTTTTTTAGGAAGTTGTGCGGTTCCTGGATACCAAGCACCCAAACCACTATCAAGTCTACAATCTCTGCAGTATGTACATGACTCCGTGTTTTGTTCCTATGATAGAAACAGGTCACTGCCTGCAAGAAGATGATTTAGTTTTTACATTTCATTTGATCATAAGTATTTGGTGGTAGGAAGTGAATTTTAAAAAATCTCCATCTTATGCTGGCCCTATTTGGTAGGAAAAGAAAGCTCAACAGCACAACGTACCCTGTGAAGGAGGCAGGAGATTGGAGGCAGAGACATTTTAGAGTCAGCTCTTGTGGTGGTTAGGTTTAGGAAAGTTTTTCTGTTTTTCCTGCCAGCTTGTGTTTTGAAGACAATTCAACAAATGCATGCTCTAACCCACTACGGATGAGGTGTGAGGAGACCAGGGCCCTGCATGGAAAAAATAAATCCAAATCCTTGTAGAAAACAGATGATATCCAAGATTCCCCGCTTCCTATATATAGTAAATTGATATTTTTCAGGAGGCAAGTGTTTATTCTGGTGGCCACATTTGCTTTTGCTCTGTGTAACCCTATGATAAAGTAATGAGTAGCCTGCTAGAAAATTACAAGTAAGCAGGACCTATTGTATAGAACATGGAACTCTGCTCAACATTATTTGGCAGCCTGGATGGAGGGGAGTTTGGGGGAGAATGGATACATGTATATGTATGGCTGAGTCCCTTCGCTATTCACCTGAAATTATCAGAGAATTGTTAATTGGCTATACCGCAAAACAAAATAAAAAGGTGTTTTTAAAAAAGAGAATTAAAAGTAAGGCAAGCCAAAAGTAAAACAAACCAAATAATTTGGTCTTATGTTACTCAAGATGGAGAAAGCACTACTATACTTATGTTTCTGAGACCCTTTTAGAGCAGCAGGAGCCAGTCAGAAAGCTCTTTTTAAAAGTAGATAAGGAGTCTCTAAAAAGTATAACTTATTCACACCTTGATCATTTGCTATGTTAATTAGAGTTAGTGATATGACCTATGCATCATTTATTTCAGGTGAAAGAGCTTATGATCCTAAGTACTTCCACCATAGGGTCCATCGATACTTGATTGATGATCACAATGTCCCCTCTCTGAGGTATGTTTGATGCCAAATTGACTAACAGAAGAGGGTCAAATACATAGGGGTTGGTTTTCTTTGGAAGTATTTTAATTCAACCAAAACTATTTCATTTGAAATCAGTGAGATGGTGGCGTTCTCCATGGAAGTGAAAGAGTGGATGGCTCAAGACAAGGACAATATCATAGTGGTTCACTGTAAGGGAGGCAAAGGTAAAAACATTCTTCTTTTTATTTCTTTTTTTCTAAAGAAATTTGAAAAATTTAATAAGGTTCATCAACAAGATATGTTCTGCTATGAACCAGCAATAATCGTTGTTGACATTTTTAAAAATTAGCTTCAAGACTGAAGGAAGAGTGTATAATTCTGGCTGATTTGAGTTGCTGTACTACAGAAACCAACACAACAGTGTAGAGCAGTTTTCCTCCAATTACACCACAAATTAGATTAAAAAATAAAAAGACTGCAGGAAGAGAAGGAAAGAGGAAGGAGAGGAAAGAAGGGAAGGGAGAGGAAAGAAGTCAGCTTACACAAATTCATCCAAAGACTTACAAAAAGAGTAAGTGCAACTTAATTTTAGTTTGTGAAGCCAAAGTTTGAAAACTAAAGCTACTCTTACCCATGACATGGATAAAAAAATTCTTAAGAAAATATTAGGAAACCAGCAATTTATTAAAAAATACTACAGCACAGCAAAATTGTGTCTATTCTAGGAATTCAAGGTTAGTTTACTATCAATCCATGTAATCAACCAGATTAATAAAGCTAAAAAATCATATTATTTTAAAAATACAGAAAAAGTTTCTGATAAAATTCAACATTCATTCGTTATAAAAATTCTTAGAAAATTAAAGGAATGTCTTAATGTGATAAAAAACACACACCCGCTAAAGTAATTGGTGAGCTATTGAAAGCTTTTCCTTTGAGAGTAGGAGAACAAGGGTGCCTGTGATCATCACCTCTAATTCAATACCATTCCAAAGGTTCTAGCCAGTGCTAAAGAAAAAAAGGATTGAAAGGAAAAAATATAGTTCCTTATTTTCATACAATATAATTTTGTGCAATAAAATCCAAAAGAATTTACAGGTAAGTTAACAGAATTAATGAAAGATTTTAGTGAAGCTTCATCACACAAGTTTTTATATGTATTCATTATTATCTAGTTCAGAATATTTTCTAATTCCCATTGTGTTTGTTTCTTAGCCTCATGGGTTATATAGAAATATACTATATATTCAAACATGAGGATTTTGTAATTATCTTCTAGTTACTGATTTCTGGTTGCATTGCATTGTGGTCAGAGAACATATGTATTTTTTTAGTTCTTTGAAATTCGTTTCAGTTCAGTTTGTTCAGTCGCTCAGTTGTGTCTGACTCTTTGTGACCCCATGAACAACAGCACGCCAGGCTTCCCTGTCCATCACCAACTCCCAGAGTCTACCCAAACCCATGTCCATTGAGTCAGTGATACCATCCAACCATCTCATCCTCTGTCATCCCCTTCTCCTCCTGTCCTCAACCTTTTCCAGCATCAGGGTCTTTTCCAATGAGTCAGCTCTTCGCATCAGGTGGCCAAAGTATTAGAGTTTCAGCTTCAACATCAGTCCTTCCAATGAACACCCAGGACTGATCTCCTTTACGATGGACTGGTTGGATCTCCTTGCAGTCCAAGGGACTCTCAAGAGTCTCCTCCAACACCACAGTTCAAAAACATCTATTCTTTGGTGCTCAGCTTTGTTTATAGTCCAACTCTCACATCCATACATGACCACTGGAAAAACCATAGCCTTGACTAGATGGACCTTTGTTGACAAAGTAATGTCTCTGCTTTTCAATATGTTGTCTAGGTTGGTCATAACTTTCCTTCCAAGGAGTAAGCATCTTTTAATTTCATGGCTGCAATCACCATCTGCAGTGATTTTGGAGCCCCAAAAAATAAAGTCAGCCACTGTTTCCATTGTTTCACCATCTATTTGCCATGAAGTGATGGGACCAGATGCCATGATCTTAGTTTTCTGAATGTTAAGTTTTAAGCCCACTTTTTCACTCTCCTCTTTCACTTTCATCAAGAGGCTCTTTAGTTCTTCTTCACTTTCTGCCATAAGGGTGGTGTCATCTGCATATCTGAGGTTATTGGTATTTCTCCTGGCAATCTTGATTCCAGCTTGTGCTTCCTCCAGCCCAGCATTTCTCATGATGTACTCTGCATATAAGTTAAATAAGCAGGGTGACAATATACAGCCTTGACGTACTCCTTTCCCAATTTGCAACCAGTCTGTTGTTCCATGTCCAGTTCTAACGGTTGCTTCCTGACCTGCATACAGGTTTCTCAAGAGACAGGTCAGGTGATCTGGTATTCCCATCTCTTTCAGAATTTTCCACAATTTATTGTGACCCACACAGTCAAAGGCTTTGGCATAGTCAATAAAGCAGAAATAGATGTTTTTCTGGAATTCTCTTGCTTTTTCGATGATCCAGCAGATGTTGGCAATTTGATCTCTGGTTCCTCTGCCTTTTCTAACACCTGCTTTATGGCCCGGAATTTGGTCAATTTTATCAAATGTTTTCTCTGCACTTGAAAAATAAGTGTATTATGCATTGTTTTGAACAGGGTTCTATATGTGCCCATTAGGTTGTTTGTTCATTGTTTTATTCACATATTCTATATCTTTACTGCTATTTTGATTGAATTGTTTGCTTCTTTCCACCCTCACCATTTGCTTGGAAGTCATATACTCTTTTTATATTCCTTAGTAATTACTCTAAAGATTTCAACCTACATCCTTTATTTAGCCATGAGTTTGTTGGGGTGTTTTGTTTGCTTGTTTGTTCTTTTAGTGTTGACCTTGTATCCTCCTGAACTCTTGTCATCAGTTTTAGGAGTTAGCCTATAGAGTTACTTGGATTTTCCTAGTCTTCCAACAGTTCATTTCTTCTTTTTTTATCCATATATATTTTGTTCCTTTTTCTTACCTTACAACACTGGCTAAGACATGTAGTACAGTGTTAACTGGAAACAGCCCAATAGTGGACATTTTGTTTAGTTCCTGGCTTTAGAAGGAATGTTATCATCATTTCATCATTAATATGGTAAACCTAGTACATATTTTGGTAGATTCTTTTCATCATACTTAAAGTTAAAACTTTTGTCCAATAGCAAAAGTTTAGTGAGTGAATATACACCTATGTTTTAAGTTAAAATACTAAAAACAAATGTAAAGCATTTTAATGATTCCTTGCATACCTGAGTTGACTGGATGAGAAAGTGGCTACTCTATCTATGGCAGAATGTGTGTGCTTATTCACAGCCATCAGGACATGGATCTACAAAAGTTGGGTTTTTTTTTCTTTTTTCAAATGGGAATATATAAGGGCTGTGGATATTTCATAGATGTCCAACAAATTTGAAATGTTAACCTAGAGACAGCCAGGTTGTTAATGGTCAGTAGCCTTCTTTAGCAAGAAGCTTATATTTATCAGAGGACAAGGTGGTACAAAGTTTTCTTTGAAAGTTATTGGCTTAGAGTAGTGTTTTTCAAACTATGGATTGAAAAATAAATTTAAACATTCATTTTTTTGAAGGATAGAATAGAAAATAAAGTGCATCTCAAGGTAAAAGGGTAAGTTTGGAATTACATAAAATAAGTTCAGCATACACTAGCTAAGACAAAAGTCATAGGTCATTGTAGAAATAATAGAAGCAATATACTTTTTAACTCACACTTTGTGCTCCTGGACAAAAATATAAATTAGAAAAAAGCATGAGACTTTGAGCTTGAAATGACATGAAATCAAGTTTTCTTTAAAATGCTATGGGGGTGAAAGCATATATGTGGAATCTAGAAATGGTATAGATGAAGTTACATGCAAAGCAAAAATAGACGCATGGACCTAGAGAACAAATGTGTGGATACAAGGTGGGTAAGCGTGGGTAGAATTGGAGGAATTGGGAGATTGGGATTGACATATACATGCTGTTGATGCTATGTGTAGAATAGACAACTGATGGGCACATACTGTCTGGCACGAGCAACTCTCCTTAATGCTTTGTGATGATCTAAATGCAAGGGAAATACGAAGTGGGGGGATATATGTGTACGTTTAGCCGATTCACTCTGCTGGGCAGTAGAAGCTAACACTACATTGTAAAGCAGCTATACGCCAATAAAAATTAATTAATAATAAAATAAGATGCTACAGGAAGGGCATAGAAAGAAGGAGGGGGAGAAGGATGAAGGAAGAAAAAAAACAAGTAAAACAATTAATAGTGATGGAATCTGGGGCACAGGTGTATGCGGGCTCATTACACTGTTCTTCCTATTTTAATGTATGCTTTACAACACAATAACTCTAACTGAAATAGAAGGAATGGGTACTGCAAATGCTAGGTGGTGGTTTGGATTCTGTCCATCTTTTATCTTTTATAGCTTCTTTTATTTACCTTAGTAGAGAAACAGGGTGTATAATTAGCTCTTAACAGGTCAGCATCACTTTTGCTTTAGAGTCCTAGAGCAGAGCCTGTTACTGTTACCCCAGGGGTCGTGATTCAAGAACAACATACATGTGCACATGTGTGCACGCAGTTAACATAGAACTCTAGGCAGACCCTCAGAACAAGCAGTGTACCAGCTTTGGCTCTCTCTGAATTGAAATATTTTGAACCTGTACTTTTGGTGTGAAAGAATATCAATCCACAATGAGCTCTTTAAATACTTTGGAGAGTAGTTTTATATCAAGTGCCCTCAGGAACAATGCTTCATGGACTAACTTCTTTTCTAGGAAGAACTGGAACTATGGTCTGCGCCTACCTTCTTGCCAGTGAGATATTTGCCACCGCGGAGGTATGAAAGATGCTCCTATAAACTTTGTCTTAGGCTGATTGAGTTTGCTAGCTTTGAAAGCTCACGGCTAGGATGTTAAGGTGATTCCTTAAGTCATGGTGTGAGTGTGTTGCTCAGTCGCTAAAGTGTATCTGACTCTTTGCAACCCCATGAACTGCATCACGCCAGTCTTCACTGTCCCTCACTATCTCCCGGAGTTTGCTCAGACTCATGTCCATTGAGTCATTGTACTTCATGGAAGTGTTATTGGAGAGGTGGTTTTTAGAACACGTGGCTTGGATACTTTCTTATTTAATTGGCACTGGTTGATAACTGACCTCAGTCCCTCTTCCTCTGGGCTGGGATGAGGGTAAAGTTGCTGAAACGCTCACCTTGGGCACAAAATTTAAGGGAATGCCTAAAGTCTCAGTAATTAAGATCAATAATTTTCTAATGCAATATTTAAAAAAAATCAAAATTAATGTACCCACATTCATCATGAGTACAATGTCAATATTTTGATTAAAGACAGGACCCAGTAGAAGAAGGGTTAATGTGAAGTGAGTAAGGTTGAGTTATGCAAGTACAAAACACCTCAGCAATCCAGAAACTTGACTTGCCACCCCCAGACCCAGCTCTGCTCTGATAGAATCCCACCAACTCCTGGCTTTCTGCTTTCCTCAAAAGAATAAGAAGATGGATTAGGGAAATTTTCTAAAGGACCTTGAACATCCTTGGAAGTGCTCAGTAGGTAAAAGTCATCATTTTCCAACCCAGAACAAAAGCTTCCCTGGACATTACTATCTTTGCACAATCAATAAGCTGTGGGGTCTGTGCCCTCTGGGAATTTCTGAGAAGACAGGATGGGCTGCTGCTATGTCTTAAAGCAGGGTTCTCATTCTGTTTTTTCTGCAGTGATCTTACACAGAAGGGCATGCTCCCAGCATCTCTGGGCCTCTTTTGGTCTGCTGCCCAGATAAGAGAAGCTGAGGGTTATGTGCTGGGTCCAGGGCTCTGATTCCATCCTCCTCTTTGCTTCTAATTTGAGACACACAGGTTAGGACAATGGATGCTCTAGGACAGTGTTCTTCACACTGTGGATCAGAGTTTATCAGTGAGTTGTGAAATCAGCTCAATGGGTTGTGACTTGCAACCAAATCTACCTATAAGATGGGATAGATTAGAAAAGGTGAGTATTGTTTTGTGAAACTTTTGTTTCAGTTGTGTGTTCATGACAGAGAGTGTGTGTGTATTTCCCAGGTTTATGGATGTGGATTGTAGCTCTAAAAGTGAAAAGTCTGAGGACTTTCCTAATGGTCCAGTGGTTAAGATGCCAGACTTCCAACACAGAGGGCACAGCTCAGTCCCTGGTCAGGGAACTAAGATCCCACATGGTGTGCAGCCAAAAAATGAAAAAGAAAAAGAAAAAATTTGAAAGCCATTGGTCTGAAGCCCTGAATAGAGCCAGAGGCCAGTGCTCAGGCCGGTGCTGTCTTTGACTGACCAGTTACATACATCTCCATGGCAGGTCACTTGATTTTCTTTTGGTCCTAATCTTCTCATTGTAAAATAGTTAAGATAGGAAGAAGGACCAGATTATCTTTGAAGTTTTCCAGCTCTAAAATTCCCTGTCTTTATGAATCTTTGAATGAAAGTAGGCCTTGATATGTCTTTCTTAGTTCTGTTGTTTTGGGTAGCCTCTGACCAGAGATCGCTGACCTTAGGAAATCACATGTCCTTAGAAACTTTCTAATGCCTTCTACAGGAAAGGAAAGTGCAGATGACCCATGACTGGACTGTCCCTTCTTTTATAGGACAGCCTGTATTATTTTGGAGAACGGCGAACAGATAAATCCACAAGCAGTAAATTTCAGGGAATAGAGACTCCTTCTCAGGTAAGTGTTCTTTCTTTAAAAGGGGTCACTCTGGGTAATTAGGTTAAGACTGGCACCTATCTCCCTGGTTTTCTTTTCTTTTTTTTCATTTATTCTTATTAGTTGGAGGCTAATTACTTCACAACATTGCAGTGGGTTTTGTCATACATTGACATGAATCAAACATGGAGTTGCATGTATTCCCCATCCCGATCCCCCCTCCCATCTCCCTCTCCACCCGATTCCTCTGGGTCTTCCCAGTGCACCAGGCCCGAGCACTTGTCTCATGCATCCCACCTGGGCTGGTGATCTGTTTCACTATAGATAATATACATGCTGTTCTCTCGAAACATCCCACCCTTTTTTTAAAAATAATTTTTGGCTGTGCTGGGTCGTTGCTGCGTGCAGGCTTTCTCTAGCTGCATTGCATGGGCTTCTTATTGTGACGGCTTCTTTTATTGCAAAGCACAGGCTCTAGGCCCTTGGGCTTCAGTAGCTGCAGCTCTCAGGCTCGACACACAGATGCCCTGTGTGTGTGGCGGTAATTCTCAGACACCGTCCCCTCCTCGCCCTTCTTTGTGGGTCATCCCATGCACTACACACATTTCACCCATCCCTGACTTAAGAGCTTGACTGGCCCTTTCCAATGGAGAGCATGGTGGTTAATTTTACTAACATTTCCCAATGAGTGCGGAAGAGCCTGTGAACTTTTCAGTCCAGCTGATTCCATACTAGAACTCTTCGACTTCTAGAAGAAAAGTTCAAGCGGAGCCCTTGTGAGCGACTTGCTATAGGAGAAGGACTAGGCTAAGAGAATTCACAGGGCTTTGCTGCAAAAATGGGATTGGGGAAATGGACAGTGGGGAACTGGTTGCTGACTGGGACTGGAGAAGAATGCGTATGTGCTGCTGGCCTGGGGGGGTCTTCCCCTGAGTTTTTACATCTTCCCTTCTCTTATCTGATGAGCTACTCCTTCTCCCTGCAAAGCACAAACCATCCTTTAACTCGGCCACCACAAAGCTCCTACCTTCTACTGGTCTGTTACATTTGCAGTTAACTGCATCTTGCTGTGATGCTGTCGTAGCTCTTTTGTTGGTTCTTGTTAGTGGCTCTTGGTCCCAGCTGCCTCTCAGAACACTGGGCCCATTTCTTGTTCCTGCCCTGTTGCTTTTAGTTCAGTATTTTCCCCCCTAAGGTCGATAGACAGCCAGGAGACAACAATGCCTTATCTAAAGGCCCCCAGTCAATGTTTCCGTCATCCATTACTTTCCTTAAAAAAATCAGGATACTGACCTTAGAATTTTCACCTCCATTGAAATTGAGACCTCTGTTGTTTTGCAGAATAGATTCGTTGAATATTTTGCAATGGTGAAAAATATCTACAATTTGACTCTTCCTCCAATAAAAAAACTCACCATCAAAAAAATCGTGATTTATTCAATTCATGGTAAGTGCTGTATGTATAATTGGAGAACTGGGCAGGAGGGCCAGTGTTCTTACTCGTTGGGAGGGTTTTCTCACAGTTATATACACAGTCCTAGCTGATAGCCGTTAGTGGAGCCTCACGTACAAGTTCCTCCCCTGGAATTGCCCATTTGCCTTGTACTGCTGTGGCCACATTGTCAGTTGCTGAGTTGTGTCTGACTCTTTTGTGGCCCCATGGGCTGTGGCCTGCCAGGCTCCTCTGTCCATGGGATTTCCCAGGCAAGAATACTGGAGTGGGTTGCCATTTCTTTCTCCAGGGCATTTTCCCAACCCAGGGATCGAACTCATGTCTTCTGCATTGGCAGAAGGGTTTTTTACCCTTGAGCCACCTGGGAAGCCCTATGGCCACATTGCCACCACTCAGATGTCCTCTCCTTTCCTTTCCCAGTTTGAGGGGCTCCATCCACCCCCTTCCCTTTCTCCTATTCTCATTGCAGCTCTGGGCTCAGCCCAGGGTGTCCTTTTCAGAGTAGGACCTCTGAGATTAAATGGAGTACAGGCCCGTGAGGCTGGAGACCGCTTCTTTCTCACACCTCATCTCTGGCTCAGGGTTTGTCCTGGCAGAGACATCCCTGGATCATTCTCTCCTTCTCCGTTCAGAGATCCTCCTTTTTTTCCCTCATCACCTGGTTTTCTTTGATTTTCTACTCACCATCAAAAGTTTCTCCCTTTACCCACCCTCCTCTCCTATAGCCCTCTCTCCCCAGAAACTCCATCAGGATGTCTTAAATACCTGAACAGCAGATGCATTTTGTTGCCACAATTGTTTTTTTTACAAACCACTCCCAAGAACTACTTTGGGTGAGGCCCCCAGCTTGTGTTTCTCTGGAGCCCGTGAGTGGTAAGCAGAGGAGAGGAATGTACATGAATGGAGAGCTGACAGCAGTGTTGAAAAGTTTCCTGGGGCGACAGCACTTGGGTCTTCCTTCCCCGACCCTACAGGAACACAGAAAAGGGCTGGGACACACCTGGTCTCTGGGGGCCTGTCTCTCTCTACCCTAGCTCTTACCAGTTCTCACTGGGAGTAAAAATCCTTATACATTCCAAAAGAGATGACCGTACCTGCTTCAAGAATGTAAGGAGAAACACAGGGACCTGCCATCGCCCTTGGAGACAGGGAAGTTGGTCGGCTCATCCATCTCTGGGACTTGAAGGAGCGGGAGAGGAATAGAAGTCAAGCCCCATGTTTTATTTCTCTCTCACCTGCCTGGCTTCCCTGCACAGCTCAATCTCAGGGAGGCAGGAGATGGGGACCCCTCAGTGGAAGGGATGGGGCTCCCCCACTGCCAGAGGTGTGACAGGAAGGGATGTTTCTGGCTCTGATCCCCGAAAGCATCACCAGCTTGAGGAGCACCCGGCAGTGCGGGACTCTCCTGGGTGGTGTGGGGCCAGGGTGCTAGTCTCCACTCAGACAGTCCAGTGTTCTCAGTCCTCTGAGGAGTGGCACAAAACACTCTCTGTTGTTGCTGTTCAGTCTCTATGTCATGTCCAACTCTTTGCGACCCCAGAGACTGCAGCACGTTGGGCTCCCCTGTCCTTCACCATCTCCCAGAGTTCACCCAAATTCATGCCCATTGAGTTGATGATGCTATCCAACCATCTCATCCTCTGCCACCCTCTTCTCCTTTTACCTGCAATTTCCCCCAGTATCAGGGCTTCCTTGGCTGCTCAGATGGTAAAGTATCTGCCTGCAGTGCCAGGAGACCCAGGTTCGATACCTGGGTTGGGAAGATCCTCTGGAAGAGGAAATGGCAGCCCACTCCAGTATTCTTGCCTGGAGAAGCCCATGGACAGAGGAGCCCGGTGGGCTACAGTCCATGGGGTCGCAAAGAGTCGGACACGACCGAGCAAGTAACACTTCACTAAAATACTCTCTAGACATTTTTTTAATGCTTCATCCAATTCTTCAGAAATAGGAGACTGCTTCGAAATATATGTAAAACTTGTGCAGTTAAAAACAATTACAATTATTTCAATAGAAAAAGCTTTTATTCAGATTATTTCTATATTCCTCCCTCCCTACCCACACCCCGCCACGTCACCACCACCACCTCCTAGTGGTGGTGAGGAGTTGTGAGGGCCAACCACAAGCAGGTCACGTGGGTTTCTGGCTTCTGGAAACAAACTTCAACCCAGCAGCATGGGTTCTGTGGGCAGTTCTGGTCTAGATTTGCAAACAAGCATTACACAGGCAGACCCTGGAGACCCAGCCTGTTCCAGCACAAGCCTGCCTGTGTGTATAAGGAGTAACTTTTTGTGAGGAGGCTCTGTAGGCTACAGAGTTCTCTACAGGTCCATTCTGACCGTGTCATGTGTGTGTGATGAAGGGGGGACAGGGTTGGTTGGAGTGGAGCCTCACTTGGAATGCCAGCTGCCCTCAGACCTCCCTGGGGTGAAGCCAGGCTCGCGGGCGGGAGGGGACAGGGGTGCGTCACTTGCATTGTTCTCTGCAGAAGAGCCAGACTGCTCTCCTCTGCAGTGTGGGAGGCAACACAGGGGGCTGATGGAGCAATTGCTTTCTCTTGGAATTTTAAACTCAGCCGTGAAACCAAGTTGGCGGCGTGAGAGCCTGGTTTGTACCTGTATGTCTCATCTCCCTCAGGGCCCTCTTGGTTCATGATGAGAATCCAGGAAGACCTCATTTTGTTGTGTTTTTCTTTATCACACTTCATAGATGTTGCTTTTTTTTTTTTAAACAAATTAAAGTTTTGTGACAGTTCTGCGTTGTCAGATGATGGTTACCATTTTTTAGCAATTTGGCAATCAAGTCTTTTTTTAATGAACGTATGTAGTGTTTTTTAGACATAGATAGACTACAGTACAGTGTACATATACATTTTTATATGCACTGGGAAACCGAAAAAAAAAAATTCATGTGACTTGCTTTATTGCAATATTCACTTTGTTGTAATGGTCTGGAAACAAACCAACAGTATCCCTGAGGTATGCCTGTAACAGTGTCTATACACACCTCTGTGAGTATGAAGCTATTCCAAACAGGCAAATAGGCATTTAGTCTGATGGAGTTTTGATGGATTGCTCAAACATGAACCATGAGGAATCATTTCTCAAAATGCTAAGCTTGAAAATGGTTTTAACAAGTTCTAGCATTTCGGAGGTTGTCTCATTCTGATATCTAAGACCGTGGATGGCTCTTAATATTTTGAGTTTTACTTAACCTCTGTGGAGATGCTGTTAAAACTGTCAAGTGTAGATCTGGAACTAATGCAAGTTTATAAGCACTGAAGGGCAAAAACTGGTGGAGAGACTTATGGGTTTAGTTTCCTCGTCTCAGGGCTTCCCAGGTGGCTCAGTGGTAAAGAATCCACATGCCATGCGAGAGACCTGGGTTCGATACCTGGGTTGGGAAGATTCCCTGGAGAAGGGAAAGGCTACCCACTCCAGTATTCTGGCCTGGAGAATTCCATGGACTGTATGGTCCACGGGGTCACAAAGAGTCGGACAAGACTGAGCAACTTTCAGTTTACTTCTCAGGCTAACATAAAGTAGTGGATTTTAAAAGTCTACTTTGAGACCCCTCATAGAGGCTTCCAGACAGAAGCTTGTGCCCTTTGCAGCTGTTCTTGTGGTGTGGGACTTAGCTAGCAGTGCCAACTTAAGAAGGCATGCCTGGCATGCTAAAATTCTTGCTGTACCCATGTAAATAAGCAGGCCAAACCCAGGGACACCAGCCTTCATTTGGAATAAGAATTCTCTCCTTTGAGGGAGATCAAGATGGTGGAGTAGGAGGGTGCTGAGTTTGCCTGCCCCCCAGCCCCCACCAGGAACACGTCAAAAATACAACTCCTTGTGGAGTGATCCAGGGTAGGTAAACTCTTCTACAGCCAAGTCTGTAAAGAAAACAATTCTGGAGTCTGGCAGGAAGGAAGGAGAAGCAATCTGATTGAGACCTGCACCCTTGGTGGGAGACCCAGAAGAAGAGGGGGCTGGTGTCATGGCCTTGGGGATTCTCCCGGAGGACTGAGGGATTTGAGCTGCACCCCAGCTCTGCGGTCAGACACCAGGAATATGGGTCCCCTTGGCTGATTGGGGTGTTGTGTTTTTTTGAAATATTTTATTTTTATTAGTGGTTTTATTGATTTGCAATTTACCATTCTATGCAAAATTCAGTATTAACTTAGTTATCTTTAGTCATTACCTGGGGATCAGTTTTTTAAAAAAACTATTAAATCCTATTAAAGCAATGCTAATGATATTCTGTCAGCTTCAAATTGACTGACTCACCACATCATTACACAGTCATCCTGCATCTGCAGTCTGTGTGTGGAATGGTATAGCTTGAAAATAAGTCACTGTGGTCTCTGGAATTGAAAACGTTAGTAGAAAGGTAACTCACATACCAGAACACAAATGGTGCTGGAATGCGTAGATGCATCTGATTCTACATTAGCTAAGTGTCAGTCACACTTTTGTATCCTCTTAGCAGGTCTGAACGGAGAAGGCAATGGGACACCACTCCAGTACCCTTGCCTGGAAAATCCTATGGATGGAGGAGCCTGGTAGGCTGCAGTCCATGGGGTCGCTAGGAGTCGGACACTACTGAGCAACTTCACTTTCACTTTTTACTTTCATGCATTGGAGAAGGAGATGGCAACCCACTCCAGTGTTCTTGCCTGGAGAATCCCAGCGACGGTGGAGCCTGGTGGGCTGCTGTCTATGGGGTCACAGAGTCGGACACGACTGAAGTGACTCAGCAGCAGCAGCAGCAGCAGGTCTGAAAGCCGGTGGGGCTGAGGGGAGGCTGTGAAACACCGAGACCCCGCTCTTAAAGAGCAAAGTGGTGTCTAATATGCCCTCCCAACCGAGGCAGCAGCCTGAAAACTCTGACCGGGGGAGAGGGCGACCCTGGCCAGTACTCTGTTGCCGCCCACATTGAGGAGGAGCAAAGCTACTCCAGGGCAGTGACTGACGTTGCTGGTGAGAGAGAAGCCAGCCCAGAAGTGAGGCACCAACCTCTCTGCCCAACCCAGCCTTTCGAAACCAGCATAGAACTGTGGCCCCAAGCCCTTGGGGTGCTAGTGGTTAAGAACTAGCAGTAAAGAACTCCTCCACTGTAGGAGGCATAAGAGACGTGGCTTCGATCCCTGGGTTGGGAAGATCCCCTGGAGAAGGGAAGCAACCCACTCCAGTATTCTGGCCTGGAGAATCCCATGGACAGAGAAGCCTGGCCGACTACAGTCCATGGAGTCACAAGGAGTCAGACATGACTGAAACGATTTAGTATGAATGCACACAAGCCCTGGAGCCCCTGATGTGTCCCGAGCCAAGGTGAAGACTGCCATCTCACTCATTCACACACACACAGGGTCGCGCCTGGCTCTGGCTGTAGCCCCTCCATCTCCAGCCCCACCTCCTACCAAGGTGGTGACAGCCAGAGCATTTCAGGGGGAGATGGGACCCATGCTCGCTTCAGGTCCAGCTGTCCCACCAAAGCCACTGGGCACACCTAGACTGGGTAGGGATGCTTCCACACAAGGATGCGCCTTCAAGACCAGGATAAGTAACTGATTCACCTGATTTCATAGAGACAGAGCAAGTTAAACACAATGAGGAGGCAGAGGAGTATCAAATGAAAGAACAAGGGAACAAAACCCTGTAAAAACTCTAAATAATCATCTTCCTTTGGGATTATGATCATAACAGAGAGACAGTGGGGGGACTGTCAGGAAAAAGTGACAGACGGTATCTTCTCTAGGGTTTTGTCTTCTCCAGGGTTGTCTTCACTGCTCACGGTCTTTAAGCTATTTTACAACTCTAAGTACATCATGAGAAACGCTGGGCTGGAGGAAGCACAAGCTGGAATCAAGATTGCCAGGAGAAATACCAATAACCTCAGATATGCAGATGACACCACCCTTATGGCAGAAAGTGAAGAAGAACTAAAGAGTCTCTTGATGAAAGAGGAGAGTGGAAAAGTTGGCTTAAATCTCAACATTCAAAAAACTAAGATCATGGCATCTGGTCCTATCACTTCATAACAAATAGATGGGGAAACAGTGGAAATAGTGGCTGACTTTATTTTTCTGGGCTCCAAAATCACTGCAGATGGTGATTACAACCATGAAATTAAAAGACACTTACTCCTTGGAAGGAAAGTTATGACCAACCTAGACAACATATTGAAAAGCAGAGACATTACTTTGTCAACAAAGGTCTGTCTAGTCAAGGCTATGGTTTTTCCAGTGGTCATGTATGGATGTGAGAATTGGACTATAAAGAAAGCTGAGCGCCAAAGAATTGATGCTTTTTAACTGTGGTATGGAGGAGACTCTTGAGAGTCCCTTGGACTGCAAGGAGATCCAACCAGTCCATCGTAAAGGAGATCAGTCCTGGGTGTTCATTGGAAGGACTGATGTTGAAGCTGAAACTCTAATACTTTGGCCACCTGATGTGAAGAGCTGACTCATTGGAAAAGACCCTGATGCTGGAAAAGGTTGAGGACAGGAGGAGAAGGGGATGACAGAGGATGAGATGGTTGGATGGTATCACTGACTCAATGGACATGGGTTTGGGTGGACTCCAGGAGTTGGTGATGGACAGGGAGGCCTGGCGTGCTGTGATTCATGGGGTCGCAGAGTCAGACATGACTGAGCAACTGAACTGAACTGAAGTCATAGGAAACTGATAATAATGCAAATTATTTGGGGCATAGAAATGCAAATTAAATGTGTCTAGTAGAATGCAATTGTTTGTTGACCTGTTTTTTATCTATTTGTAAATTAATTTCATCATTCCTTATCTGCCCGCAAATGCAGTACTTTGAATCAGCTACAACATTGACTTTTTTTTTTAATAAGTTAAAGAAGATTTTTGACGTGTTAAAAAAGTGCAAGTACAGGACAGTGCTATGGTATGCAACAATTTCTGTAAAACAATATATATATATACATATATTTATGTTTGTATGTATGATGCTTAGTTGCTCAGTCATGTCCAACTCATTGTGATACTTTGGACTGTAGCCCACCAGGCTCCTCTAAGGGATTTTTCAGGCAAGAATCCTTGAGTGGGTTGTCCTTTTCCTCCTCTCGGGGATCTTCCCAACACAGGGATCAAATCCACATCTCCTGCGTTGGATTCTTTAATGTGCTGAGCCATCAGGGAAGCCCTGTTTGTCTGTATATACACATGTAAAACATACAAAACTCGGAGAAAATATATTTGATTATACATACATAAAAATAGAAACTAAAAAAAAACCAACTAAATAATAAGGGTTATCTATTGGGGCTGGCAAAATAAACAGGTGGGGGATAGGTGAAATGGAGACTTTTCGTCTTCTTTATATTTTATTTTTAAATCATGTGATATATTTACAGTATTTTAAAAGTTTTTAATGTGTGGGGATTCAAGCTCATAAAACAATGCCCTTGTCGCTTGATAAATATCTTAACGTTTAGCTCTGCATTTCCTGAATTCTAATTAATATTAGTCAAAACAAGTCTGCAACTGGATATGACAGAGAGAACTGAGGTAAAGCCATGACTCCTAAAGACAAATGAATAATTCTGTGTTAGTGAGAACAAAATTAAATGAACATAAAACAATATGAGAAAATAATCAAGAATGATAGATAAATGACTTTGTTAGAATACTTGTTTTAGTTCTATACCTTTGGTTCTGTGCATATTTAAGTGAAATATGCAGGGTTGAAACAAAAGCAAGAAAAATTAATTGGAGGCTTGAGAAACCAACTCTTTGAGGAAATACTAAAATAAGTCGGTCAGTTAAATTGGAAAAAAAAAACAAGAGTGGGGCAAAAAACCATTTGTCTGTAAATATATACTGAACACAGCAGGAATGTTTGGATATAGCTATCCTGTGTTTTGCATAAACTAGACTTAAGGCAAAAGGAATTTTAGTTTATTATTAAGAAACATCATGATTGGAAGTCTGAAGAAAGCTACACATCAATAAGAAAGGTTTCAAGTCCCCTTCCCTAATTTTTTTTTTTTTGCTAGATAGGTGAGCAGTAAGATTCTAAGTCTTAGAAGCTGAACTGTGTCCTTTTTGTTTTTTTGGTTTTTTTTCCCTTTAGCCTTATAAGCTCTGCCTTAGGGGACAGAATTGGATCGAAGCTTTGTCTTTCAAAGACAAAATTCAGGCAAGATCCAAATGATTCAATATTAATGCATTGTTAGCTGGGTTCATTTTTTCTCTTTCTAATCCATATTATTGATTTTTAGACATTCTGATCTTTGCTCTAACCGGTCTAAATTTTTAATTTCATTCAGGTGTTGGAAAAGGCAATGGACATGATCTAAAAGTACAAATAATAATGCAACGAAAGACTGTCTTTTTCTGTTCTGCTTCCAAAAACTGTAGGGTAAGAGAAAGCACGTGAACTGAAAAGTCTGGTGTTTGTTTTAAATCTCAAATCAGCACATTGACCTCCCCAAACCATTTATCACCACAGGGAAAGGCCATGTTGCTTTCTGGTTACCATTCTACTTGCTGTCCTTGGGTTTGGATGTGAGTCAAGAGTTAAACTGATTGTTCAAAATTGTTTTCAGGGTGTTTTCCAGAATATATTTTTGGTTCAGAATGGTGCTTTGCCCTTCACTTTTCCACAGATGCTAAGCATGTTCTCAGAAACCTATCAGAGTTTTAAATTCGTGCCTCTTGTCACTTTTAGCCATGTCCTGTTCTTCTTGGTAACTGTATTATATGGCACTGATTCTGAAGTTTCAATGCTCATGAAAATCACCTGCTTCCATATCTTGGCAGTTGTAAATAAGGCTGCTATGAACATTGGGCTGCATGTATCTTTTTTTAATTAATGTTTTTTTCCCAGGTATATACCAAGAAGAGGATTGCTGCGTCATAGTTTTATATTTTTGGTTTTTTGAGAACCTTCCATACTGTTTGCACAGTGGCTACATCAATTTACTTTTCCACCAACAGTGTTTGAAGTTTCACTTTTCTCCACGTCCTCACCAACATTTGTTAGTCTTCTTGATGGTAGCCATTCTGATGGGTTTGAGATGATAGCTCATTGTGATTTTAGTTTGCATTTATCTGGTGGTTAACAATGTTGAGCATCTTTTCATGTGCCTGTTGGCCATCTGGATGTCTGCTGGAAAAATGTCTATTCAGGTCTACTGCTCACTTTTAAATTAGGTTGCTTGTTTTGGTTTTTTGTTTTTGTTTAATGTTGCAGGAGCTTATATACTTTGGATATTAACCCTTTTATCAGTCAAATCCTTTGCAAATATTTTCTCCATTTTGGCTGTCTTCATATTGTCAATAGTGTGCATTGCTGTGCAACAGCATGTTTGTTTAATTAGGTCCCATTCATTTCTTTTTGCTTGTTTCCTTTCATTTAAGAGGCAGATCCAAGGAATCCAAAGAATTACTGCCACAATTTACATCAAAGAGTGTTCAGCCTGTGTTTTCCTCTAGGAGTTTTATAGTATCAGGTCTTACATTTAGATTTTAATCCATTTTGAGTTTATTTTTGCACAGGGTGTTAGAAAATGTTCTTTTACACATAGCTGCTCTACTGTCTTTGTTTTAAAGTCTGTTTTGTCTGATATAAGTATTGCTACTTTCAGTGATTATATTTAACTCTGATTGGCTCTTTTTAATATCTCTCTGTTGAAGTTCTTCCTGTGTTCATTCTTCTTCCAAGTCTGAGTTTCCTTATGGGCATGACTTTGAATACTTTATCAGGTTGATTCCTTATGTCCATTTTGTTGGTTCTTTTTCTGAGGTCTTGTCTTTTTCTCTCAGTTGGGACATATTCCCATCTCCTCATTTTCCCTGACTCTGAGTTTGTTTCTATGTATTAGGTGGATCACCGACATCTGGTTTTGAAAAAGTGGCCTTAGGTAGGAGGTTTCCTGTGGGACCCAGAAGAGCAATCCCGGCTCATCATCAGAGCCAGGGAATTTTTCTTGTGGGCTGCATGTGCCCAGCTGTTGTGTGGCACCACTGTTGCTGCAGACTCATGAGCGGATGGCACTGGCGCCCACGCTGGCTGCCTCTGAGGCCTGCCCACGCCTGCTGCAGGTTCACTAGTGGGCAGGGCGGGCCTCAGTGCGGCTGGCTTGGTGCCCAGCCACGACAGTTGCAGATGCAGTTGTGATGAGCGTGGTCCCCTAGGGTGGGAGATGCTTTGGAGGACTGCCAGCTGGGGTGAGCACGTGGGGCAGGGCAGGTCTGCAAGAGAACACCAGGGCGGGGCACATGCTGCTAGCCAGGTAGATGGCAGATGTTTGAAATGGCACCCGCCATGCTGGGCCAGCTAGGCAGAGGGGGAATATTTTACACGATGCCTGCCAGCACTTTGTTCTCCAGAGGAAGCTTCTGCCCCTGTGGCACTCACCCTGAAGTTTATACATGCACTTCACATATGGCCAGGGCACCTTTTGGGGTACAGCCTTTGCAATGGGGCTCTTAGTGAGGGAGTTTATGCACAGGCCCTTTAACGCATTATCGACTGGGGGATTTCTGCAGATAACTAATGCCTGTGGCAGGTGACCTGTCATGTAAGTGAATACTGAAACGTCTCTGATCAATAACATCTAGGTAGCAGAAGATATATTAATAAGTCTCTGGTCAGAAGAGCAGGAGTTTCATTTCCCACCGCCCTCCTGCTCTCCTGGATATAAGCCCTGCTGGTTTTTAGAACCTGATGTTCTGGGGGCTCATCTTCCCCAGAGCTGGGGTGCCTGATGAAAGGGGCTTGAACCCTTCCTCTCCAGCGGGAGAACTTCCGCGTTGGTGAGCCCCCCTCCCGCGTGTGGGTAGTAGTCACGCTGGGCGTACGGGTCTGCTAAGACCACCCATCTCTGCCCTCCTGTCTCAGTGTGGTTTCCTATTCATATCCGCAGTCATAGCAGAGCTGTCCTGCTATCTTCAGGTCATTCGCGGAGTCGTCCCATAGATAGTTGTAGTTTTGCTGTATCCGTGGGGCCCGGTGAGCTGGGCACCCTCCTACTCCACCATCTGATCCTGCCTCGGTGCCCCTCTTCACCGACACACATCCTCCCGTGCCCAGCTCGGTGTCTGCCTCCTCAGGGAAGCGCTCTCATCCTTCACCTCCGTTAACCTCCCTGCAGCCCACAGCGGCACCCTCTCTCTATCATCCAGCTTGACACGTGATTACCTGCCATTCTGCTATTGTTCCTTGCGTGCTTAACTCCCTGAAGCATCATCAGAGTCTGCACCTCCTTTTGTACTTTTTTTCACAGGACCGAGCACAGACCTTTCCCACTGTGGGTTCCATCCTCACCCAAGGGTGTATCAGGAACAAAGAAATAGTATCGCATCAAAGTTGTTCATTCCAGAAACTTGGCCTATGCCTTGGTCATTCCATCCAGCTGTCTGCTACAGACAAGGCCAATAATCCCATCAGCAAATACATCTTTTATAAAATGTGATCCATTAGGCATTGCTCTTTGAATGTGCCTACTAGTTTTAAAATTGAACTTCTAATGTATTCTCAACATATGAAAATCAGATGATAGACATTCAACAGGAATGTTAACTTGGTTGAAGTCTAATGGAAAACTGGACACTTTACTTTTCAACAGTGCTGCACCATAACCTTCAACCACACTGGCCTATTACAAATGTGAACAACAGTATTGCAACTTTAAAGGTTCATATTTATACATGTAGTCACTGAACTATGAGACCAAGAGAACTTGATTACATATTAGAAGCTGCAATAAGTGAACATGAACTTCACTGTTGTCTCATTATCAGGTTGATAATTCTGAATTCTGTGTGTTCATCCAGATATTTCATGATGCTGAAACAGACAGAGTAATAATCTTGCTCTCTAACTGCCCACCTCTGTATGATGAGGTAAAAGTGAAATTTTTCTCTTCTTCGGTGAGTAATCAAGAAACAACCCATGCTATTCATCTCATCTAGTCTTGTGAATGATTCTGATTTGGGATTTCCTTGACTATAATTCCCAATAAGCGAGATGACAGGTGATGTCAACCCCAAGTCAGGGAGGGGAAGAAAACAAGTCAGATTACTATAAAGAATTTTTTAAAATAAGAAAATATGTAAGGAAACCTTTTTTGCTTGTTTTCTAAATTCTATACAATTTGCATGTGTTCATTTTTGAGCAAGAGAGAAATACAAAAACCAGGATGTTAAAAACAAAACAATGTATGTCTTACTACATAGCAGTGATCATATTTTTGCTTTGTATCTTTAAAACACATTTCTCCCCATAACTTACAAAATACTTTAAGGGAGGAAGGTTTTGCTTTCCTCATAATTGATGTATAATTCATTTAAAATAGTATATTTAATCCAATATTTATGAAATATAATGTCTGCCACTGTCATTACATTATTATGAGGGTATAATTATGTTGACCAGTTAGCAAATGTCTGATTATTCTGTATATGGCAATATTCTGTATATAATAAACTTCTAAGCCTCAATTGCTAGTTCATTTTCCTATAACATCATCAACCAGAACTGTCAACAGATAACTGTGTTGCTCAATTTAAAGCTTATTTCCTTCATGCCCCGCTTGCTCCCTGTTGGGGGAGAACTTACTAAGTTTGAAGTGGTAAATGTGTTGAAGCAAGTGACCTGGAAAGTTCCCCTCGAGTAATGGAGCCAGTCTGAGTTCTCTTAATTAGTGGTCTCTAAGCAGAAGCGCTAGTGTGGGGATGTTGGTTTTGTCTGGCCTCTGTGATTTTCAGGCCCATGAGTTGTGAAAGCCCTTTTGGAAATTTTAGCTATTTCTATCATCATTATTGATAGTGGTTAATTATCTAATGTAGCTGTTCTTTGTAAAAATGGATGATACACTGGGGCAGAAATCAGCATAATCCTTAGTAGATTCTGTTTAGCACTATCCAAACCAGATTAAAATACCAGTGTCTAAATTTATAAATATCTATCATAGACAGAATACATTTCCTTGAAAATTTTGCCAGAAACAGCAAGAGAAAGGAATGGTAATCTCTTAAAGTCTCCTCCTTGGTGTCTTGAGTATAATGTTGACTAGAAGTGCTGCATTTTAATAACTACAACTATTTGATGAACACACAAATGAATAAAGGAAGGAATTTTAATCCCTTTGGAATGACTATTTTTCACAGTTACATGGATACCAAGAACTAATAATTGTTTTAAACCATGTCTTTTTAGGCTCTTCCTAAATACTACGACAACTGTGCATTCTTCTTCTGGTTCCATATGTCTTTTATACAAAATAACAGGTATGGCCATGGTATAATTCAGTAGAAACAGCTTAGTCTCCAATGACTACATAAGGGGTAATGACAAGCCTTTATTTTAAAGTTATTTTACTTGGCTGTGTTGGGTCTTAATTGTGGCACACAAGCTTAGTTGCCACCTATGGGACTGCTCCCTAACATGTGGGATCTTCGTTCCCCGACCAGAGATCAAACCTGCATTTTAAGGCAGATTCTTAACCACTGGGCCACCAGAGAAGTCCCTGACAAGTCTTTTGCTAATTACTCAAACCCAATTTATAGATACCAAAAATTCTTTTGAGTCCCTGTTTTTACTGCCTTATTAATTGTGATCTGGTTCTTTAAAAAATAATGGCTATTCTTGAGATCCACTGTTGCATTATCCTCAAGATCCATGCCGTAGGACTGTGTTATAAAATATCCTATAACCAGATCTTGACTGGTAACAAGTCCTTTCCATGAAAGTTCAATATGAATCTGTTTAGCACCTCAATATGGCAGGTCCTCAGTACATGCTGATTTACTGATGACCAACCAGCATCATATTCTACACCACAGTAAGGCATCACCCAGGGAGGCTTCGGCTAGTTTGAAAGCTGGCTGACATACTTCTATTTTACACTTCTATATTGATGGCTGAAGTTATAAACCACAGTAAGTACTGATGAAGACAGCTTAAAAAAAAATTATGAATAGTCTCCCATAAAAAATGTTCTAATAACTAAATTGGATAATCTATTGATTTGAAGATTATGGCAAAGAACCTCTATCCTATCTGAACCTCATTCCTACATCTAGAAGTTCCCCACTTCTCATGTCCTATGGTGCTGATGGGATGGTATCACCATCCCATCCCATCCAAGGAAAAACAATATTCAAAAAATTGTACAGGAGTTTTGAAGAAGTGGTTGTGAGTTGACAGTTCTCCTGACATACAACTCTAGCCTTTACTTCAAATGTGGATGCCCTCCCATCCCACCTCAAGTTCCAGGAAGGCAACAATACACCTACAATTCACACACACACTCAGTGGATTTCGATAGAATGAACTTTAGATGTGACGGAACTTTACCAGATTTTTTTCCCCTTGGATGTGCTTGTGATCAGTTGTGTCCAACTTTTTGCAACCCCATGGACTGTATAACCATCAGGCTCCTCTGTCCATGGAATTCTCTAGGCACGAATACTGGAGTGGGTTGCCATTCCCTTCTCCAGGGAATCTTCCCAACCCAGGGATCGAAGTGCCTTTTAAATTATGAAGTGGGCATTTTGGATGAATTAAGTCTCGTAAGACAAACAGCTTCACCCAGTAGTATGGAAATTTAAATGTTAAATTTTCTGGCTGGCCAAGTCTCCTGCACTGGCCGGGAGATTCTTTACTATTGAGCCACCAGGGAAGCCCTCCCACCCCCACCCCGGATGTTTACAGATGGAAAACTTTGACTCATCAGCAAAAATCCCTCAAAATTGACATCTGGGTGGAACTTCATTTGGTGCTACTTCTCCAAAGCAGTTCTTGCTGAAGGACAGTTATTTCCTTTAAAACACCATGGTTATATTAGAGATGCAACAAGTTCCATCACTTTTCTCCTCACTTTTATAGAGTTCCTCAGGATTTAACACTTAGATTTCCATACTACTGGGTGGAGCTGTTTGTATTACGAGACTTAATTCATCCAAAATGCCCACTTCATAATTTAAAAGATACTTGTTTATACTGGGTTTTAATACACATCCAGTCTGATTTGTCACAGAGCAATTCATTAAATACAGATGTTAATTCCAAAGGCAATATTAAAAGAATGAGTGACACATTGTTACTCGAGGTTATTATATTTTTGTCTCTTAATAGAGAGTTGAGCTTAGAAAGCCAACTAGATGCAAAGGAGCTGAGACTGATGGTGGCCAGCAAGTGGGGCTTTAAATCAAGGGTGCCCTACAGCATGGCTTTTCTGTTAGCCTGAAAATAAAATGTAAAAAAAAATTTTTTGTTTTCTATTCTAGGCTTTATCTATCAAGAAGTGAATTGGATAATCCCCATAAAATAAAAGCATGGAAAACTTACAGTCCAGAGTTTGCAGTCGAGGTATATTTTGATGACATTTAAGTTGTTCCTGGTATCTGATTAAGTATAGTTCCCCTTCTAGGCTAGAATCATGTTCTTCCCAATCCTTGCTACATATTTATATCTTTTAAACCTATGTTCTTGCTGATATGCTTATATTTATATACATGTACATATGTTTTTGAGAAATCTATTAAATATATACAAGGGAGAATGTCAATGGCAGTTATTTTTTTTGGAAGGTCTATACATCACAGTTTTCGTCTGAATTAAGTTTGAAACAGGACACAGAACATTAGTTATCACTTTTAAGAACTTACAAATAAAACTTTCCCACCAAAATAAGATTTAAAGACTGCAGTTTCCTCTAATACTGTGGGTTTGTTTCATTTACTTATATATTTCTGGACAAGTATTTATTCCCTGCTTTGTTTTACATCTGTAACTTCAGATGTTAGAAGCTAATTTCTTTGACTTACAAACTATTAACAATGATCAGAATGGCAGCAAAAACGATTTTAAAACCCAGAGAAATGTTCACACCAGCAGCCTCCCACACCCAACACGGTTTTATTTATTTTTTTAACTCCACCGCACAGAACTTGGCAAGCTTCCTTTAATTATACACAGGGCATCGAGGGAGGGTAAAAGAATCTTCGGTAACCTCTGCTTTTGTCCGTCATTACTGAAGTCAAAGGGAACATTTGCCTAGAGCAATCTAGATTTGAAAATCCACCACTCCTGCCCCCAACCAGCTTTACCCAAGTTTGGAGAACTTTGAAGTAAGGTCAAGTTTTCATTATAGACACTGGTTAGCCCTGTGTCCACAGGGAATTACTATTTTCTCTTTGGTTCAGTTCAGTTCAGATGCTCAGTCGTGTCCGACTCTTTGCAACCCCACGGACTGCAGCATGCCAGGCCTCCCTGTCCATCACCAACTCCCAGAGTTTACTCAAACTCATGTCCATTGAGTCAGTAATGCCATCCAACTATCTCATCCTCTGTCATCCCCTTCTCCTCCTGCCCTCAATCTTTCCTAGCATCAGGGTCTTTTTAAATGAGTCAGCTCTTCGCATCAGGTGGCCAAAGTATTAGAGTTTCAGCTTCAACATCAGTCCCTCCAATGTACCAGGTGCTATTTTATTCTAAGTACCTTCACTGCCATAATTGTTCTTGAAAACAGTTCAATGTTGGCTTTATTATCTGAGCAATTTTCCTTTTATTGGCAAGGCTCTCAACAATCTAGCCCTGGTTGAATTTATCAGATGAAAGGTAGCACTCATGAGCACCTGCGCCTCTGCTAAAACAAAGAATACCCATTCCTTAAAAACCTGACACTGCTAAAAGTGTGAAGTGTTTGTTAGTCATGTCTTTTTGTGACCTCATGTATGCAAAAAGTCAACCCTTTTTTGCGACCCCTGCCAGGTTCCTCTGTCCATGGGGATTCTTAGGCAGGAACACTGGAGTAGGTTGCTATGCCTTCCTCCAGGGGATCTTCCCGACCCAGGGTTGGAACCCAGGTTTCCCACTTTGCAGGCAGATTCTTTACCATCTCAGCCACAAATAAGGTTTGGGGGGCTGGGGCAGTCCACTCCGATGAAGCAGTGTTGGAACAGCACTCTGACCACTCAGGCTGGCAGCCCCAGTCAGTATTTGAGGGAGACTAGACCATCAGTTTACAGAGGAGGGCTGGTGGCTGCCAACCGAGCAGAGATGGGAGGAGACCTCTGAGCTGCCACGTGGTGGCATGGAAGGCCCTGCAGGTGCTTCTTTTCCCCTCGAAACAGCCCACAAAGGGTCCCAGCTGCCAGTGTAGCTGCCCAGCTGGAAAAACGATCATCCTCCCCTCTCCCTGCACACCCCCCAATACCCCACCCCCTTGGAGGAACTGATCTTGGACAAAAAGGCTTTCAAATTCCTCCCACATTATGTCTCCATTATTCCCTGTAGTTTGGGTTACAGAAACGTGTAAGGACAGGTTATTTCCTTTGAAATTCCTGCAGCCATCATCTGCAGAGGAAGATCAGCTGGCAGGCTTAGGTGGATGAGGAAAAAAGTGAGGAGAGTAAGATCTAGCTTTAATACTGGCAAAAGTTGGGGAACCCCAATTTTTCAGAAGTTTGATTTTTGAAATAGAAGGGATTTCAGTTGGGGGTTTTTCTTTCCTAACCCTCCCAAGTGCATCAAAATTTCTGGCAACTATGAGCGGTCACCTGATACTGCTTTTGCTCATAAAGAGAACTTGCTGAGGGCCACCTGCAGGCCTGCTTTCCTAGAACCCAGTGCGAATAGTTTGTTAAACAACTTGAGAAACTTATAGCATATCAGACGATACTGACTTTCTTGAATAGAATTTACTGACCTGGAAAGACTTCCCTGGCAATCCAATGGTTTAGACTCTGTGTGTCCAATGCAAGGGACACAAGTTCAATCCCTGGTCAGGGAACTAAAAGCCCATGAGCTGCGCAGTGTGGCCAAAAAGAATTTACTGACCTGGAATAGAACTATCCAAACTTGTATCAAGAAATTTATTTTAAAAAACAGCATGGCATCCTGGCAAATCAATCACATCACATCCACAGCCTGGTGGAGGGAAAGTAATTTTTGTGGGCCAAGTTTCATCATCACTGCAGTGTATAGATAACATGGATTTTTATCAGTAGTTGTTTTACATCAAGAATTTTGTTGACAAAGAACAATGCTAATTGCAATAAAACCACCACCTTGAAATATCACCATACATGACTCAAGCATTCCTGACAGTTGGTTCTTTGCATGTATGTACGTAAATCATATAGTCACCTATTAGGCAAATAATTTAATGACAGAACACAAGAATTTCTTTAAACATAGTATTTCAAGCTACTATATTTTTGTCTGGAGTACACACCTGAAATTGTACAAATTGTACCTAAATACTGAACCATGAGTTAAGCAGATAGAATGAAACAAAACAAACAAAAACACAGTTCTGACTTAAGTTCCCATTCCTTACTTCCATTCACTCTTAACTTGCCTCAGATGGTTTCTGTTGAAGAAATTCAGTTACATCTTTGCAGGACAACACAGGAGAAGGAGTACCGCCAGTGGGCTCTGGAGGAAGCCTCTTCCTGGGGGAGCCAGTCCCATTTGCTATTTTGGCTTCAGTCCAGGCCTGTCTAGATGAAGCACTACGCAGTAACTACTGACCATTTAAATATGGAGAAAAGGTAGGTAGAAAAATGCTTTTCAAGAAAAGACAAATGGAAGACCAGGCCTAACACGAACCTGTCGGGCACAACGCTGAGCATCCTGCCTTCCTGACCTCCTAGTTTCTGGCAGGTGGGTAGAGTCACTATCAAGGCTTCAGGGAGAACAAAAGCTTGCAGAAACTAGGTTTCCCCAGGGACAGATATACGGCCGAGTAGCTGAGGACGGTTACTAACAACACCTCAGCTGTTCAGGCCGATTAAGACCTCTGTATCAGAGCCAGGGACGGGGGAGCCTGGTGGGCTGCCGTCTATGGGGTCGCACAGAGTTGGACACGACTGACGTGACTTAGCAGCAGCAGCATCAGAGCCCTGGGTGGTCCTGGGACCGGGACGGGGCAGCTCCCTTACACCAGACGACAGAGAACAGCTGCCCCTCCCAAGCCTGTAGAAACCCAATGAACTAGGGTTTGTGAGTAGTGCAGACAAACGGCATAGTTTAATAAAATGACTTGTTTCATTGATCAAGTCACACCCCAGAGACCACGTCGCTGAAATTCATGACGGCCAGAGGCCCAAGTCAAAACGCTCTCATGCTGGAAAAGCCCGACCAGAAGTGAGGGATCGTGAGACAAAAATTCAGCCCAGCTCACCTGACACCCCTCACGAAGAGGGCAAGTCCTAAGGATGTCTGAAAGGACAGCGCTTCGCCCAGGAGCATCCTATTGTTAGATGCAGAGCCAGGGTCTCTCTCGGCTTCCGCAGTCTGCTCCCTGGAAGGGCTTCTGATTGGCGGAGGCAAAGGAGGGCGTGGCCCAAGGCGGAGAGAGAGTCCAACAGACTCCCTGCAACCCCACCCAGGCCAGGATCCAGAGGCAGAAAGCAGCTCAGGGACGCTGTCAGCCACCAGCTTCACCGAGCCGTCCCCTCAGCCCCTTCATCTAGCCCAAGCCCAGCAGACGGGAGTCCCTTGGGCGAGGAGGGAGGAGAAGCCGCCCCGGGCTGCTTCCCAAAGGCTCCGGGCCACACCCAGCCCTATGGGGGCGCGGAATGTGGTCCTACCAGTTAGATGATTGGCACTGTTCCCACAGAGGAGCATCCTAGGAGAATCCACTATGCTTCCTCTGAAATGTCAGTCAAGAACGTGAAAGTATGTGAGTACATTCTCCTTTTTAAAATCTAGAAGGACATCTTAAGTTTTCAAGCACCACAGGAAAACGTTTTAAAAACTGTACCCACTTAGTATAGTGTACGTGCTAAGCATATATATATATATATATATATTTTTTTTTTTTTTTAAGAGACCCTACATCTAGAATGGATTACACATTTATAACCATCCTCATGAAACATGGTTACCTCAGGGCTTTTTTGTCCTAATGCACTCTGAGATGAAACATGGAACTACACTGCTTCACTCACAACACATAACCATCTAAACTTCATGGACACATACAGGTTTATGCAAAAGCCCTTGATATAGCTCTACTCAGCCCTCCAGATTAGGTAAACCTCAGACCAGCAGCCCACCTACCCTGCATGTCCCACCATGGACAAGAGCAGCAACTTTATTTCAATACAATTATGGGCAGAAATTATATGCTATAAAATAGAGGCTCTTCTATAAAGTTTAAGGTAGAAGAATGGAAGACAAAAAAAAAATAATTTGCATGAAATCAAAATAACTCCACATTGGTCTTGTACTCTTTGAAACCCTGAGATGAACTGCAGTCCTCAAATGCCTGCACTTGGATCGAGGTTTGCTGCAATGCTTCAGTATGCTTCGAACTGGTTCATCATCAACTTCCTGCTGTATTCATAGGCCAAGAAGAGGGCCCCGTTGGCAGGGAATGCGCGAATCAAGGTAGGTTTCAGTCCAGAATATAAGGCCAGTACTCCTAGAACACAAAGGGGTGATCAAAGACTGTGATTTCCACCCCCCACTTCTTGCAGATATCCCACGAACCCGCACAGCATGGATACGTTTACACTTACAAATCCAGACAATTGAGCTAAAACCCAACAGTTATGGAGCAGGTTTCCCTGAGCTAATGGAACTAAACAGTCTAGTAGAAACAAGGGCAAGGGCAGGACTCTCAGTAAAGTTGGCGAACATTCACCAATCCCGTGCCTGTTAACTCCTGGTAGATGGATGTGGCAGAGCGGGGCCACATGGCTGACAGAAGGCAACCAGAGTCACAGATGGCAGCGGCTTTGCAGCTTCACGTGGGGGCGAAGACCGTGAGGCCAGGAGAAAGAATGTGGATGAGGTCAGAAATCTGACTAGTATCAGGTTTCTAGTATCAGTACTGCCCAAGGCAGTTCTGAAGATCCAGTCAGATAAGGGAGGTTTAAGTACTTTGTAAAACTATGAAAGTGAAATTGCAAATTGAAAAGGGGTTACTGGGGACCTCCCTGGTGGTCTAGTGGCTAAGACTCCTCGCTCCCATTGCAGGGGGCCCAGGTCTGATCCCTGGTCAGAGAACTAGATCCCACATGCATGTCACATGAAGAATCCCACATGCTGCAACTGAGACCTGGTGAAGCCAAATTAAAAAAAAAAAGGGGTTACTATTAGTAATAGACGTTTTGTGCTCTATTTGGGGTTAAATCAGTTTCTGCATATTTACTGTGCTCGCTTTCAAGAGATGTGTACGTGCCAAGTTTTAAGATGCATAGTGAATGCTAGAAGGACAGGTCTTTACTCACTAGTAGCATAAAATCGACTTTACACAACCACTACTTGAAAATGTCTTTTATATATATTTATATTATATATATATATATATATATATATATCTCCTGTATAACCAAAACCTGATAGCAAATAACCTTCAGAAACTGCTTAGTGCCTTTCTCATTCCAGAAGTCTTAGTATTAAGGATGTACACTGTTTGAAATGTCTTAGCGATTCCATTAGAGCTCAGCTCCTGATAATATTGCTTAAAACAAGTGGTGCTAACTTCGAAACATCCATCTTCCTAGACAAAAGTATATACTTTAAAAATTCTCTCCAGGCTATTTAGAAAAAAAAAAAAATCCTGGCCCAGAGGTTAGGAGCCAGGAGCTTTAAACATTCTTGAGAATAATGAAAGAACCTAAAGAAAGGGGTTTGAAAACAAATCCACAAGTGTGGGTTATATACACAGTTAGAAAAGGTTATGAGGTGGGGGAAATAAAAGCCATTATCCATGTGATCAACCTCAACAAGACTAGCGGTGAAATGACTGCTCTCTGTACACACCACCTCTGTTCGGCCAATGGCAGACTCACCTTCATTTTTCACGATGCTTATAAAGGTTCCGATAAATCCTGCCTGTTTGCCAGACATGGAAAGAACTTGAATCCTGGATTTGATACAATCCACTGGGTAAACAGCAAGCCACAGGCAGATTCCACCAAATCCACCACTTAACATCAAAGGGACAGGGCCTAGAGGAGAAAATGAGCAACTGGTATTTTGTCTTAGCACAGGTGATGTGACATTTCCAGAAGTCAGTGCAGCAGCGGCTGCAGGTGGGTGCAGTCACCAACTGGGAAGCTGCGGAGCACAGTTCTCTGGGGCAACAATCCAAGAGCACAGGTTCCTTGTGATAGCCTAGGGCCATCCCTCATGATGCCAGGACCAGGGGCAGCTCCAGTGAGGGTCAGATTTAGGCTGGTGGCTGTGGCCCTCCTGCCGTGTCCTCCAGAGGCCTGCCCCCCACCCCCCGCCAGAACCAGCAGGCCCCAGCAGCATGGCAACAGCCTGCCACGAGGAGTAAGAATAGAGGCCACGGAAACACAGGCTGCATCTTTTTTCAACTTTCTCTTAAGTATTTTAGTATATTAATACCCTACAGCCCCGATTCTTCCTTTACAGAGAAAAACTAAAGTTATCTCATTAAACATGACAGTTAAGCCTGAGAGCACGATGATCCTCAGAACAGGTCCAAACACTGAAAGGAGGTGTTTAAGAAAAAAAAGTAATCCCCCACAAGCCAAGCATTGGGTCAAGCCACTAATGAGGATAAATGAGAAGGAAGGACCCTTCCCATTGCTATCAAAATACTATCTATCAAGGGGACTTCCCTGGTGGTCCAGTGGTTAAGACTTCACCTTCCACTGCAGAGGGGCGTGGCTTTGATCCCTGGTCAGAGATAAGATCCCACATGCTGCATAGCCAAAAAAACCAAAACACAAAACAAGCAATGTTGTAACAAATTCAATAAAGACTTTAAAAAGAAATGGTCCACATCCAAAAAAACCTTTGGGAAAAAAACACACACACACACACACGCTATCAAGATTTATTACTAAGTTTAAACTTATTCAGAGATGCTTTATGGGTGATTTCCTCCAGGAAAAATGATGTCTGCAATCTTCCTTAAAATGGACCTGGAGAGAATGCACAAATGGTATTCCAGTAAAATAAGTCTGGAAAGTCTTGCTCCAGCCCCTACCCTGAGGAAATTACCTAGGTGGGAGGAAGGTGCTAGCTACCACTTGCCAGTACGGTTACTCCCTGGCATCCAGAGTCACCTAGGGCCATGCGAACCTGCCGTGCACAGATTCCATAGCAACCACCACCACCCAGAAGCCAACACTTCAAACCCACCTGTGGTCCTAGCCAACAGGCTTACCTAATTCGTCTTTCGATCTCCCCGAGGCAAAAAATGACCGGCTCAGTTCATAGCCACCGAAAAAGAAGAAGTAGCCTGGTACTTCTCGCAGTAAAGTACTTGAGAGTCCGTGGTAGAAGCCCAAGGGGCCGTCCTTCCTAAAGACAGTCTTCACGACAGACCAGACTGTGCTGGGTGGAGACAGGGTGACAGACAGTTAGGACAACGTTCACATCCATCCCGTAGACCGGACGGAGCTCTGACCACCAAGCAGCTCATTTTATAAACAGAGCAACCAGGATTCCAGCCCTAAAAGGCTTCTGTGGGAAGGAAATCTCCCAAACAGATACAATTATTTTATAACAAGTTTATCACTTGAGCTGGTCCATGTAAAGATATTTTATTAAAATGAATGCATAATTTCTAGAAATCATTATCAAAGATCTAAAAGAGCCAATTACACCCATTTTTTTCAATAGTGATTAAGTGAAACTACAATGAGATTGTCCAAACTCGGCGAGAATAAAATGGCATTGTTCATGCCCAGTCCCCTTACCGCCCTCAATTTCTATCTCCTCAGCCTTTCTTTTGAGCTGGTATATTTTGAGCGAACTGATTGTTCAGGTGTTTAGGGTTTTGTTTTGCTTCCATCCAGGGAAGTGAGCAAGGAGCCGCACATGTTACTTAAAGGCAAGAACAAAAAAAATTCCAAGAGCCGAACTATGTCAGGCTAGACTCACCCAGTATTTAGTTCTTACAGGGGGCAGGTGCGTAAGAATTTTTTACTTGAAGCAGATCAGAGCCTGAGGCAGCCTGAACACGGCACTCTCCGTGCAGGCTCTTCTTCCTGATGGTGTCGGGGGTGGGGAGTGGGAGGCCCGTTCCCGATAGCACCAGAAACCAAGCCTGTTTGGCAGGCTCCTCACTGTGTTCTCAACAGGTGACCTGGCTTGGACCAGAGAGGGATCAGGCCCCAGGTAACAAAGGCCACCTGCTTTTATTGATGATCTGCCTTCCCAGGCATTATCCACTAGCCAGTCCCTGCCTGCAGTGCCCTCTCTTTCTATACTGAAGAAGTAAAGTAAGCCAGGGTTTCCCTGATGGCCCAGCAGGGAAAGAACCCTCCTGCCAATGCAGAAAACTCAGGAGACGCGGATTCGATACCTGGGTGGGGAAGATCCCCTGGAGAAGGGCATGGCAGCCCATTCCCATGCTCTTGTCTCGAGAATCCCATGGACAGAGGAGCCTGGCAGGCTATAGTCCGTAGGGTCGCAAATGGTTGGACACAATCGAGCGACTGATGCATGCACACACAAAGTAATTCAACTCAACACAGTTAGCCTGGTTCCAAGACGGGTCTCAACCCTCAGCTACCATATTCCCAGATTGGGCACTGCTGTACCTAAAACATGTTTCCTTTTGTACAGGGTGTCCATCTACCAGAGTCCTTTGGATCTAACAATTACTTTCTTTAAAAATACTTTAAACTGCTTTCAAGAGACAACTTTCTGGGTGCTGTTAATGCACTATTCATCTGGGCACCAGCTGACAAAAAGGTTCATTTGTGACTATTTGTGGAACCGCACACTTAGGATTTCCTATGATTTCTGGGTGTGTTTCTGTTACTGTGTGTACACTGTATTTCATGAAAAAAAGCATTAAAGACTTTTGACCTTCTAGGATATGAATAATAGATTCAAATAGGTTGTAATGAATCTCTTGGCTGCAGGAAATAGGGTGCTATTATGAACCCCGTTTTCATTGGAAGGAAACTGACGACTCGGAAAATGGTAAGTTTATCCACCAGTTCTTCCCAGCAGTTTATTTATTGGCTTTTGAGTTAACCTGAGCAATACCCATGACCAAACCTTTACTTAGTTAAGATAAATAAGCAAATTTGGGATGAATAAGGATAATAAATTGGTTTTTAATTCAAATAATAAATAATGTATATGATTCATACATTCATGGGATAACTCAATTACTGAAGACTTGCTAAGCTTACAAGGGTTTGATGAATGTTTTCAGAATTTGGGCCCTTTGTAGGTATACTTAAAGGACTTCTTCTTGTTGTTTAGTCACTAGGTCATGTCTGACTCTGTGACCCCATGGATTGTAGCCTGCCAGGCTCCTCTGTCCATGGGATTCTCAAGGCAAGAATACAGGAGTGGGAAGACATTCCCTTCTCCAGGGGCACTTGAAGGATTAGGGAAGGGGGAAAAGAAGTCACCAGGATCTGGTGTGCTTAGCATGAGCACTGATGTGAAACTGGGTAGTGAGCAAATATTCACCCCAGAATCCAAAGTGGCACCTAGGAAAGCGCAGCCTCAGCCCCAAAGCCGCTGCTATGTGTTTCTAGGTATATATGGAGGTCACACCTTAGGCTCTCCACAGGCCAAATGAGGTAGAAGCCCTGCTTCCCCACTTTTAGGATATGAAATATTTGCCTACAGGGACTTCCCTGATAGTTCAGTGGTTAAGACTACACACTTCCAATGCACGGGGTGCAGGTTCAATCCCTGATTGCAGCACCAAGATCCCACACACCTCATGGCACAGCCCCCCCCCAAAAAAAATTTTTTTTTAAATTAGGAAAAATAATAAATCATTGTTAAAATCTTTTGCCTACCTTCTGGGGTGGGTGGTGGGTCTAACCATCCCAGACTGTCCATTCAGAAAATTATTCTCTGATTGGTGGGCGTGGGGGAGGGGGTGTTTGGAGTAGATAAACTCTTTTGCTTCTTAATTATAGCATAATATAAAATTTAAAAATATTCATTACACCAAGGCAACGTGATGTTTGTACCCAGGCAGCGCTTACTTCTGGCTTTTGGCTATCTTGCCCGATGTCTCCATCTCGTACATGGTCTGCAGCCGGCACTTCACCAGCTCCGTGGGGCAGAGGACCAGGGCAGCAAAGGCAGAGGCGAAGGAGCCGGCAGCTGCGTTCTGCAGATCACTGGGAGGGTGCAAGCACAGGCGGCCCGTTACTCACTCGCTCGGCACTGGGCAGGCTCCAACACGGATGGTAAAGCAGAGTGGGCTCAGGCGGAGAGGGACGCTCCTTCAGTGCCCACCAGGCTTCCTCCGAGGAGCCCACCACCCCATGGGGGCGATAGCAGCATCCTGACTTCAGGGGAAAATGATGCTTAAGAGATGATACCCATGTGCTCAGTCACACAGGTGCTAAGTGGCAATGCTAGGCTTTAAACCCGGGTCTCTCTGATGGCAAACCCATGCTTCTTTTATTAGTCATACAGCTATGGCCTGGACCCCACCCCCAGATTCCAGTGCTGAAGCATTCACCCTCCATGTGACAGTATCTGGAGGAAAGTCTTTGGGGGGTAATTAGTTTGAGACGGGGTCCTGATGTGATTGTGGAAGAGACTGGAGAGCTGGCTGCTGTTCTCTCCACCATGTGAGAGGACAGGCAGGCGGCCCTCTGCAAACCAGGAGACGGCCCTCGCTGGACACCAAATCAGCCAGCACCTACCTCATTCCTAGACTTCCCAGCCTCCAGAACCATGAGAAACAAATGTTTGTTTCTAAACCACTCAGTCCAGGGTATTTTGTTCTAGCAGTCAGAACTAAGACAAAAAGTGACACAGAGAAACCAAATTTGGAAGAAAAAATTCCCTAAGGTCCCACCACCCCGAACATATACTCCATTAATACTTCAGTGTGTTTGCTGCTGAGCTTTAAATAAAACTAGTTTTCGAGGCCATCCCTATGTGCCCTGCATCCAGCCCAGGGCAACCACAAGTGTAATATAACTACTACAGATGAAACTAAGATCATGGCATCTGGTCCCATCACTTCATGGCAAATAGATGGGGAAACAGTGGAAACAATGGCTGAGTTTATTTTTTGGGGCTCCANAACTAAAAATAGAATTACCATATGATCCAGCAATCCCGCTCCTGGGCATATATTCAGACAAATTATAACTAAAAAAGATACATGCAGCCATATGTTCATAATGATACTATTCACAATGGCCAAGACATGGAAACAGCCTAAATGTCCATCAACAGATAAATGGGTAAAAAAGATGTGTTTCATATATACCATGGAATACTACTCAGCCACAAAAAAGAATGAAATAATGCCGTTTGCAACAGCATGGATAAAACTAGAGATTATCATACTAAGAGAAGTAAGTCAGAAAGAGCAAGATAAATACCATATGATATTGCTTATATGTGGAATCTAAAATATGGCACAAATAAACCTACCTATCTACAAAACAGAAAAAGGCTCATGGAGATCAGACTTGTGGTTGTCAAGGTGGGGTGCTGGGAGAGGGATGGAGTGGGAGTTTGGGATCGGTAGATATAAACTATCACATTTAGAATGGCTAAACTACAAGGTCCTACTGTATATCACAAGGAACTATTATCCAATCTCCTGGGATAAACCATAATGGAAAAGAATATTTTAAAAAATAGTGTCTCTATGTGAACAACCGAGTCACACTATTATAAATCAACTATACTTCAATTAGAAAGAAAGAATGGTACCTTATTTTGTTTCCCAAGCTGGTAAACAATACAGAACGATCCCATACGTCACTGCAGATTATTGGGAAGCTAATAAATGTATGTGTCCACTCAACTGCCGATTGCCTTCAGTGTGGATGCAATGGCCTCAGGAGAACTTTGAAGAATTTGAGAAATCAGTAGTTCCTGCTGGGAGCTGTGCTCATGTAAAGATACAGAAGAGCCTGCAAACACAAGATAGACAAGTGAGAAAACAAGTTTGAAGCTCATCTTCATGAATTAATTATAAAATGCCTGAAGTAGAAGATCGGATCTGGTTTGAAAAATAAAAATGTCCTGCAGTTTAAATCACTGAGCTATCCCCATCAGCTTCTAGAAATGATCTCTGAACTCAGTCTTTCTTTTCACAGTCCTTGTGAAATAATGAATCACTTCTCAAAGATGACGGGTGGATAAAATAAGAGATGAAACAACAAATAGGAAGATAAAAACACTTTCTTCCAGGAAAAATGAAACTAGGCACCTTCAAATCTCATAGACTTCACTGTAAAAATTTTCCTTCTTAAATTGTTACAGCACATATTTGCTTAACTTTTGCCAGATGTCCAGGATCAAGATTTAAGAATGAGTTGTGGTCTTTACCAGCTGAGCCACAAGGGAAGACCTGAGTTGTGGTCTTATTTCAAGCTTTTCTCATCTAATGCAATGATCCATAACACAACGGCTTTATTTTTTCACATGCTCTCTTCTGAAACATCAGGTAGTCAAAACTTTCAGAGGTCAAATTGATTTTGGTCAGGCAAATTAGATTATGTCCAGCTAGTGTCAGAATGAGTAAAGGATGCCTTGAGGACCGTCAGGGGAAACCACCTCAGTCTACAGGTAATAGTCAATTGATTAGAAACTTTGTTCATGTCATTGTGAGGGTCATTGTATCTCTAATTATTATTGCTGTCTCCTGGGAAAACCAGGAAATTTTATATCTCAGGGCCTGACTTCACCTTCTTTTCCAATGCTAATTAGCCTTTGAGGCCTGTTCAGGTTATCCGAAAACTGTCCTTGAAATGGAGATTTGTGTAGAGTAGGTTATTGTTGTAGACGCTCGAGAATAATATCTGTAAAGGAGCAAGGGAAGAAAGACTGATCAGAGGAAAAAGTTGTTCTGCTACTGTTGCAATCAAGGCCTTAGCCTATGCTACAGGACCTCTGGAGCTGTGATCATTCTTCTGTGCTGCCTAAATTTAGGCAAGAAGGCAAGGTATCAGTATTTTGCATCAATCACTGTTAGATATGGGCCATCCTCAGGGAGAGGTGTACCTCAGGAGAGGCGGTTTCCTTTCCTAACGGCCATGCCTGGAAAGGGAGCCAGCTATGAGCCCGCAGGGGCCAACATTCCTCTCATGGAATGGGGAGAGATGGAGGGATAATCTGGGTGAGACATTCAGATCCACCACAAGGTACCTTATTGAAGAGGTCCCTTAATTAGAGAAGTTTTTTCCTGTGGTCTAATACTTTGTATGAACACATTACCCTCAAACGTCCTGGCTTAAAACAACAAACATAATTTATTATTGCTCCTGGTATCTGTGGGTCAGAAATTCCCAAGCGGCTGGGCTGGGGTGTGTGTTCTGCCCGAGGTGTCTTGTGTGAATGTAGTCAGATGGTGGCTGAAGCAGCCGAGAGCTGGCCAGGCACCTTTCTCTCTTCCTGCAGTCTTGGGGCCTCTCCCAGTGGTCTGGCCTAGTTTGGCCTTCCCCACCGCATGGCCGCCTGGTACTTCTCATTGACTTGGAGCTTAGGGCTCCACAGGTGAAGTCGCAAGAGAATCTGCAAAACACTGCATGGTATCTTCTACCATGGAAGAAGATGGTTTCTATGCTCAGAAACCACGTGGTTTGTCAGGAGCCCACCCAGTCTCAAGGGGAAGAGACAGGGATCCCACCACTTGATAAGGAATGACAAGGTCTATAAGAACACATGGGATAGGACAGTTTTTGAGAATACAAAAGGTGATGAAGCCATTACTTTCTGATGGTAATAAACCCAATGAAAAAAGCTTTAAAATAATGGGATAGGGACTTCTCTGGTGGTCCAGCGGTTAAGAGTCTGTCTGCCAATGCAAGGGATGCAGGTTCGATTCCTGGTCCAGGAACTAAGATCCCACATGCTGCAGAGCAACGAAGCTCATGCACCACCACTACTGAAGCCCGTGTGGCCTAGAGCCCATGCTCCACAACAAGAGTAGCCTCCACGACAAGCAGTCTGCACACTGCAACTGGACAGTAGCCCCGCTCATTGCATCTAGAGAAAGCCTACGTGCAGCAACAAAGACCCAGTGCAGTCAACAAATAAATAAATAGAAATAATGGTAGAATTCAGATCCCTTGACTTTTCAGAATTATTTATATATGTATATAAACTCAATTATTCAAGTATTATGGATCTGCATGAGCAATAAAACACTTAAAGTATTTAAGTTCGGCCCCGAACAGTCCATTAATTAGAAGGAATTTAATTATAAATGTACAGAGATGTCAAATCCAGTACTACTGTTTTCTGTTAAGTGCTATGTATGGGGACATAGCAGACACTAGCTTGGCTTCTGGAGAAGGCACTGGCACCCCACTCCAGTACTCTTGCCTGGAAAATCCCATGGATGGTGGAGCCTGGTGGGCTGCAGTCTATGGGGTCGCTAAGTTTCCGGAGAAGGCACTGGCACCCCACTCCAGTACTCTTGCCTGGAAAATCCCATGGACGGAAGAGCCTGGTGGGCTGCGGTCCATGGGGTTGCGAAGAGTCAGACACGACTAAGTGACTTCACTTTCACTTTTCACTTTCATGCATTGGAGAAGGAAATGGCAAACCACTCCAGTGTTCTTGCCTGGAGAATCCCAGGGACTGGGGAGCCTGGTGGCTGCCGTCTATGGGGTCGCACAGAGTCGGACACAACTGAAGCGACTTAGCAGCAGCAGCTGGGCTTCCCTGGGAGCTCAATGGTAAAGAGTTCACTTGCCAGTGCAGGAGACGTGGGTTCGATCCCTGGTCTGGGAAGATCCCACGTGCTGTGGAACAACTAAGACTGTGTGCCACAGCAATTGAGCCTGTTCTCTAGAGCCCGGGAACGACAACTACTGAGCCCGTATGATGCAACTACTGAAGCCCAAGCACCCTAGAGCCTGTGCTCTTTACGAGAGAAGCCGCCGCAGTAAGAAACCTGAGCACAGTTGCTAGAGAGCAGCCCCTGATCGCTGCCACTAGAGCAAAGCCTTCACAGCAACAAAGACTCAGCAACAAATAAACAAGTAAATACAACAATGAAAAAGAAGACACTAGCTAAAATACTTATTCCTGTGTCACAAAAGCCAAGTAAATGAATAACTTCTACATTAGTTTTCATTCATTATCAACCTAAATTTTTCATTTTGTAATGCACGGACCTCAATAGTCATTTCCCTTTTTTTTGTGGCAGTGTAGGTGGCTCAGATGGTAAA